ATTTCAAACAGACAAAGTTTAAATGTAATCCTTACTTTTCAAGATAATTCACGCCATTGTCAACAGATAACGGATAGTAGGCCAACAAAATTTTATGTGTATTATATCTGGTACGTATGTGTGACTATAAAATGATAAAAAGCAAACTGTTATTTCGGACTGTCAAGGTAGATAAATATTTGCGCGCCCAACTTATCGATAAATGTTAACAAAAAGAAGTACTAACAAACTCAGTCGCCTCGAAATTTGTGAAAAAGTAAAATATTGAATATTGAAAACCTGGAAACCATTACTCTGAAAACAGTAACTTTAAGACCATTTTCTTTTCATTTACCACAATAAGACTGTTTTAAACCTCAACTAACCCCAAATGTTTTATCTTGCTACTTGGGTAGTTGCCTGGAGACAAACGGAAAGCAAACAAGCGGGTATGAAAATCTCAGTACATTCTGCTTAACAAGGTAACTCTATCAACTACCACCTAGAAATGCAGAAGACCCCTTCGACTCTGGCATTTAGTTCAGGCTGAGTCTATTTAAGCAATGATATAACAAAATTGCTTACTGTACCTGCACTGAATAACAACTTACGAAGCATGAACAAATTTACAGAAAACTTCATTCCGAAGAAGTTAGTGGAAACAACAAAACGCTTTTGCAACCGATTTGTTCTCACCCTGTATTTCATGTACTTTGCGGTGGGTGCATCCAGTCATTACTCAGCCCATCAAAGTTTGAACGAGTTGCAGCCTTTTGAGTACCTACAAAACGCCACTTGCTATAATTTCCTACCGCATTACTATGAAATACCCTTCAACACTGACACCACTGACAGGTGTAAAGTGGCACTTGCTCTTATGGACCTCGGATTGGCAGTTTTTGTGCTCTACGTCTGTAGTAAGTATTTACTTACTTTTCTGCTCCAAGGGTTTATACGAACCCTAACACTTTTTTCAAGGTTACAAAATATATTTTGTTTCTTTATAAGACATTGAAAGATATTACTATTAGTTGGATCTTTTTACATGTGGTCTCATTTTGTAGGTCTCATAAATACCTAAAAATCTTAAAAAAAGAGTTTTTATGTTTCTGCCAACACTTTCGATTGAATCCCAAAAAACACGTTTTCTCATTCTTTATTGTCGAATAAAAAGTTTTCCCACAAAAATTGGTGTACCCATTTTATGCGTCCATATTTTGAATACCATCTTGAATAACTTGCAGCAATACGAGTAAAACCAGACTTTAAAATTATTTCGCAAACCAGGGGTATTTTCGTCTAATATGATGTGCAAACAATATATAATGTCCGAAAGTCTTTGTGTTAGGGCTCGTACTATTCAATATATTTTAAATTTGTTCCAGCAAGCAAATCCGAACTAGTTCAGATCTAATTCCGAATTAATTTTCTGCGCGTACTTGAGGTAATTACAGCTTAGGACTCTAGCTCTGAACTATTCTGTTGGAACAAGCAATTACATTGCTTGTTGCCGTAAACATTAGATTAACTGAAGTAAATATTAAACTTGTCAAGTTGCCTCATGTTATACGTTGGATTTGTGTGTATTGTTTTTGTCGTAAATTTTTTTGAAAATGTGGGAAGACCAAGTGGCAGACTTAACAAGAGACGAGTGGGTGCATTAGTGGTCCCAGAATTCATGTTCAGTAAGATTCACGTCTCAGGGGTGGGGGTGCCGGCGATTGAATATTGAGTGCTATTCAATTTAGTGAAAAAAAACAACCCTATCTTCCTACTTTACGGGCCACAGGTTAAGCGGCTTGTTGGATTTTAGCATATGAAGTTTCTCTAGATTTGTCTTGACAGCGCGAGTGACACTGAGTATCCTAAAGTTTCATACAACCAAGATGGTGGATTTTATTTGAAAATTCGCTCATAGCTTGTAGAAATATTAATTAATATATAAGAAATAGTACCAAGGTTTGTTCTTTTAGACATACTCTGTTACACTAGCAGAAGAGGAATATTGATAATACTTAGCGATTAATTGACTTAAAATCAAAGGAATATACAAAGGGTACTATAAAAGTTTTGCAATACAGCTTTATTTATTGACTTCGTTCAAAGTATTTTTCTCCATTAGTCAATACACTTCCACATGCATGTTGCATGCACACGTGTTCCCTCGCCATGCCAACATGCAGTAACATGCAGCCTCTTGCGTCCGTTTGTTAAGTCATGTTGAACTTTTATAGTCCCCTTTGTATAGACAATATTACTGTAACATGAGCGAAACAAACTTATTAAAATTATCAATACTTTAAGACATTTTCATTTCTGTTCTTGGAACTATTATGATCAGCTCATCAGATCCTCATCACCGGAAAATTGAAAAGATGGAAAAGGCAAAAAGTGTCGGTCACAAAATCCAGCTTACCAGTCATGAATAGTTCATCGATGCCATATAATCTAGGTGCGCACTCTCGTTATTTGAATTTTAAGTTTTCTTTTAAAGCCAGAACTGTTAGAACCAGTTCAGAACTGGTTTGTAATCAGTTCGGATTTTTTTGGAATAAAGAGCTGGCAGTTACAGAATCAATTCCATTTTCTATTGGAACGATCTGCGCAGGCTCTGTTCAGTTCAGAACTAGTTCGATGGATTGTTGGAACAAAGCTCTTATTTCGTAAATAATCCAAGATTTCAAAAACGCACGTAGCCATTAAATATTTATTGACTTTACTAATATACGAAGGTTGATCCCTACGATCTGCCCCTGACTCCTTTCTTGTCACTGAGTACTCTTTCGCGATCACCTAATATGTTCAGTAGGACTCCACGATTGCCTGGCCGCTAAATGAAACCACTTATGTTTAAATTGCTTTTTCACTAATGCTAGCTACCGTGGCCTTTTTTTGAAGTACTACAGACAATATTATACTTTATAATTATCTGTTTTCCAGGTCTTTATATTCTTTACCGAAGCAGCCTCGTAAGCAGATGGAAGCCTAAATATCAGGGCACTGCGGCTGCTATGAGGAACTTAAAGAACATTTTTTGAACTGCCTAAGCTGATTATAATTGGGAAAAACCTCTTCAAGTAGATTGTTTCACAATCTCGACACCTTAGGGATAAAGAAACGGTCGTATTGACCAGTTCAGGATATAAGCAGTTCGACATGCTTCGGATGGGAAAGCTAGATCGCCGACGGCCCGTAGTAGGTCTCTCGTCAGAAAGAAAGTCGCTGCTAGTCTTTCTTTCTCCAGCTCACCGGCAGAGATCGGCTTGTCGCTTTGAATTCCTGCATGCAGGAGTGCGGCTAGAAAGGAAGTCAGCCATCCATCTGCAATGCTTCTCTGGGACGACATAGGATGGAAGTTTGCATAAGAGGGCGGCATGTCACAGCGTGGTTCGTGGTATGAAGGTCACTGACATGAGCCTCACCATAAGGCTGAATGAGTTTATGGAAGAGACGCGAAAGAACTGCAACAAGATCCGCTGCACATATCTTCAGTGTAACGGCAGCAATCAAGTCCGGGCCCAAAGCTTAGTTGATGTCAAGAGATTGAAGGTTACTTACCCCTTGAATCGACGACACTCGGTCGTTGGGGGGAGGGGTACTCCCATGGTTACGTTGTTTGCAAGGGCATTGGCAAGCACTTCCGCTTTAGCCTTTGGGTCGGTGACAATCGTTCCATCCTGGAACGTAAGCGGTGGAAGGCTACTCGATATCGGCTTTTTTATTCTCTACAGTGGGGATTTGTAAAAATGTTTTGTGTGCCTTGATATTCTGCCGACGAGCAGTGTTGCACGATTTGTTGAACCAGCCGTTTGACCTTGGTTAAGGCACTTTCACTGTATGAGGGATGTATTACCTCTTGCCTTCACTACTATGCAGTGTATTGCGTTAACAACCTGAAGGGTTCTGTATCACGCCAAGATCGCGAAAAGCCATCATTATAATTTTAAGATGGCACCGCGGAAAACCAGCAAATTCCAGGACCAACTGCTACCAAAAGACGTCCAATGCCCCAAAGCGATAATTGAGAATGATGTTATCTGTTCTTTCTTTTGATGTACCAGGCATGTCACCCTCGCTCATCGTCCTGGAAACTCCAAGTCGTTCGAGAACGCAAAGACTCACCCAGAATTGCAATGATGATTTCGCACGATCTCGGTGTGGTATGGGACCGTTCAGGCTGTTGTTGTACTTTGGAAAAGTGGTTGTTAAGACTTTAGTAACAAATGATTCAAACTTATGTGGTTCTATTTAACAGCCAGCCAATCATGTAGTCCTATCGGCATGACAACCACAAGTATTAAGTAATATATACAGTGTTATTTAAAAATTTATGAAAAGTAGGTTTTGCGGTATAGCTTTTAGGAACCTATAAATATCATATAGAAAAAATGGCCTACGTTTTGTTTTTATAGAAACTTTTTGTATTCTACATGACCTCGAGAGATCGTTTGAAGGCACCCTCTGAAATAAATGCTTATCTATTATAGCGTACGATGTATCCTTAACGCTGCTTTTAGCAAGTCTGAAGATTAATTTAGAAATTTTATGTGAAGCCACTCGGACCATTAGGGGAAGAACATTACAAAAACTAAACTTACCTAAAGATTACGAAGCTTTCCACGATGAAGACGTCCCTGAACTGGAGCAGGCGTTATTTGATGAGGTCAGGAGGTGCAATCTATGTATGGCATTTTTATTGAGGTGAGTGAAATGTATGAATTTCTGGTCGGTCCTTGTGATAACGTATGTGTACAAAATTTCAAATGTGATTTAGAAACGAGCATTTGCTAGCAGAATATTTTTTATAGACAAAAAGCTGCCGTCTAATATTAAAAACGGTAACGCGTAACTTGAGCTCTGTCGGATCGATAGTTTGTGCAGTTTTAATCATGGCATCAACAAGTGGACACGGTCAATCGAAACGAGCCTACAAGCAGTGTAAGTACAACTTTTTTTTCTAAAAATACCTCTTGCTTCATTCTTGCATGGGATAAAATCGGTCAAAATTTTAAAAACAGTTTATTGGTGCACATATGTGTACACTAGGATTTACTTCATTAGGAGGCTAAAAACATTTTGTGTACACTTGTTCCCTTCCGTCTTCAACTGCTGCTTGTGTTCGCAAAACCTGAATGAAACAAAAAATGTTATTTTTTTTTGTAATCTGGAATAATTTTCATTTATTACAGATTACAAGAAAGCACTGACTGATGATGAACTTTTAAAGGGTTTAGACGAGAGTGATATAGAATTAGAAGATGATAATTCTGTAGCAGCTAACCATTATACTCCAAATTTATCAGATTTAGAGAGCAGTGATGAAGGCGAAAGTAGTCCCGAAGAAAAAAGGCATGAAGACAACTTTCTGGAGGCTGAGAATGATTAAACAGAAGAAGTCGGGAATAAGAAAGAAGAAGTACTACTTGATGAGGATAAAATTAATAAGTCAGAACAAGTTATAGGATCTCGCGAATCACCAGCCAAAAAGACTACTAAAAGGAACAATACTAGGAAGAATTTGCAACCAAAGAACAAAAAAAGTACAGGAAACAAAGCAATAAAGAAGCCTGTGACAAAATGGGGCAAATGGATCCTCCAACCAGACTTTCCGGACTTTCAAACAACCGATTATAATGGAAATGAACGACGTAATTGGGCACCTATCGACTATTTTTTTAAATATTTTGACGATGAATTCTCTCAACTTATAGCTACTCAAACCAACATCAATTACTTTCAGCAAAAGGGTCGTTTATTGACATCAGAATTGCTTGAGATAAAATAATTTGTCGGAGTAACATTAGCAATGAGCTCTTTGGGATATCTTCGCATTAACATGTATTGGAAAACATGTTTTAGAGTTCATCTTATTGCAGATTACATGACTAGGGATAGATTCTTTGTAGTAAGAAATTCCCTTCATTTGGTAAATAACCTTGATGTAACAGAAAAACAACGTAAAGAAGATCGTTTGTGGAAAGTTCGACCTCTTAATCGATTTAGAAATGCAGTTTTAGTATTACCACGCGATGAAAATGTTTGTATCGATGAGCAAATGATTCCTTTTGCAGGAAGTGTTGGATTTCGGCAATACGTGCCTAGAAAACCTAACCCAACAGTAATCAAAATTTACATTTTGGCAGGGGCTTCAGGACAAGTGTGAGACTTGGAGGTGTACCAGGAAGCAACTAAAAGTTTGCCAGCAGATATCGACGGAACTTATAAAGTAGGAGGTGGAGGGCGGGCAATTCTTCGCTTAGTAGTTACTTGTATACCTGGAACTAATGTTTATTTTGATCAGTATTTTACCAGTACAGCTCTACTGCAAATACTCATTGAAAAGGGTATTTCAGGCACTGGAACGGTTTTGTCCAATCGGTTCCCAAATGTTTCTTTAAAAACCGATACAGAGATGAAAAAACCCGGACGTGGTACCAATGACTTGAAAGTCAGAGAAGACAAAAAGATTGCTATTGTTAAATGGATGGATAACCGGTCTGTAATAGCTGCAACTACTAAGTATGGTCCGACAGCTACTTGTACCATCAAACGCTATTCCAAACCAGATAAGGCGTATGTGGAAATACCACGCCATGAACTAATTACGCAATACAATGTCAACACGGGCGGTGTTGATCTTTTAAATCGCTTAATAGCTCAGTATCGCAGTTATCATCGAACAAAAAAATGGCCAGTTCGTGTATTTGAACATTTTATGGACATGACAATCGTAAATTGTTGGATTCAATACAAAAAGGACTGTACATTTTTTAATACAGCAAACACCGACCAGTTAGTTCTTCTTGCATTTAAGTTGGCAAACTAGGCAAACTCTAAACGAAATCAATGCCAACACAGAGCCTGAAAATGATGACGTGGCTCCACCGTCTAAAAAGCCAAGAGGACGTCCAGGCAAAGTAGCTGTGCCTCCTCAAGAGCAGCGAACCCATGGAGCTTTGCATTTACCGGAAGCACGCGATGTTCCTTCAGCTCCTTGATGTAGAGATGCAGGTTGTACTCACAGATCTGCAATTAGGTGTACAGTTTGCAAAATATTTCTGTGTAAGCAAAGAAAGAAATTGTTTCGAAGAATTTCATAATTAAAATTATTTGGAGTTTATTTTTCTTGTGTAACCTTTTAAAAATGTGTGTTCATTTTTTCAATAAAATTCAAAATGAATGTTTGCTTAAATTATTTATATGTAACACTTTTACTGTTGGGTTCGCGAGTCCATTTGTTTACTTTTTTTATTGCCTTCATATAATATTTACGTCCTAGTGTGCACATATGTGTACCAATTGTTTGAGAGTTACCTAGACGTTATTTTGAAAACTGAACAAATAAAACTGATTTTTGGATCCCCAATAACACGTACGTACATAAAACCCAGAGATTGTCCACGCATGTGCTTCTCAGGACTGACGAGAATATCATTGAACGACCGATACCTAATTTTATCTGCGTATTGGTAATGTCGGCTTAATTTACCGATATATAAATTATCCGATACGACTGCCCATATACCGATATGGGTCGGTTGAAATGAATTACAAAGCTTTTTGTTTCACAATATATGTAAGCATATTTTGGTTAGTTGTCCCCAGATGACCGATCTTCATTGTTTCTATAGAACACAAACTGCGCTATCGACTTTGAAACTCGTTTGGTTGGATTACTAGGCGGCCGATACTATTTTTTGAAGTCTGCAACATTTTTATGTACGAGAGGCACACTGTATATTTTGATATGCGCATTAACTATACTAGTTAAAACCGGTAACAGTGCACTATTAGAAAGAGCAGTCCTTTATTAGTAAGTCGCTGCATTCAGTTCATTTGCAAGCGTCTTACAGTGTACGTGGTGTAAACAAATTTAAGACGAAACATGGAGTTATCTCGAGAGAGTTATCGCGTTATGACTTTAAAATCGGTTTAACTGAACATCAATGTATCGAATGGTTACATCAGGCGTTTGGTAATGAAGCTCTGTCCCGGACAAGTGCGTTTCGCTGGTATGCCGAATTTGAAAGAGGGCATGTTTGATTCGCTGATGAAGAACGTAGCGTTCTAGTGTGACTCCAGAAAACATTGCTAAAGTTCAGCGGCTAATTGAAGAAGATTCTCGCTGCACATATGATACTATAGAGGCGCAACAGTGCACACCATTTTGCATGATCAACTTCTTTAAAAAAAATTGTTGTGTGCAATCCTGCATCACGACAATGCCTCTAGCCACACTGCCCAACTAACTGCAGACTTTTTACACCAGCTCCACATCAAAATGCTGCAACATCCGCCTTATTCGCCAGATTTAGCAATGTGTGACTTCTGGCTCTTCAATAATTTGAAAAAATATCTCCGTGGTTGAAAATTTTTGTCCGAAGAGGAAATCGATCAAGCACTTAATCAGTTTGTTGAAGGCATTCCAAAAACTGACTGGTTAAAAGCATTTCATTTGTGGAAGGTCGGGCTACAGAAGCGCAATGATGCTGTAGGAGAATGCTTTGAACATAAATAAACTAGTTTTATTTTTGAACTGCCTCAGGTTAGCAGAACTGGCAAAAGTCTTCTCAGGAATATTATTTTGCAATCTCGATACCTTAGGGACGAAGGAGCGGTCGTATCGGCCAGTTCTGGATGTACTACGTTCGATAACCTCCAGTTCTCTCGTCAAAGAGGAAGTCGCTGCTATATTCTTCCGTCCAGCTTACCGGCAGAGATCGGCTTGTCACTCTGAATTCCTGCATGCATTGTGTAGTCATCACCAAAGTTGTCGTTTACATCTGAAGTTTTTTCGTAGCTGCTATAGGATAAATCGAAGTGAAAGGAAGGCTTGTTGTGTTGTCTGAGAAATTTCTTATATTTGATACTACCACTGCTGGGTTCTTATATAATACTGATGTGATGTGTAAATATTTTCGGATCAACACAACAGACGCATCATTGTCATCATCAGGACTCATATCATTGGGGTCTCAACTCCGTATACATTTTCTGATGCAACTGGCTTCTTGAAAATATACCCTGAAATTGGTTTCACTCAACATATTCCTCTTGTGAAATGCACCTATATATTTCAACATGTTTAGCTGTGTTGCAACCAATATATTCACCTACGGAGATGAAAGGGCGATAGGCCCTTATGTCGATGTTATCGATATCGGCCGATTGTCGGTATTGGCAAAAATCCTGTATCGGTCGCTCTCTATACTGTACCTACTATATTTATATCATGGAAAAGTAGTCTTTATTTCAAACTTGCTGATGCTACAGTAAATAGGTTCTTTTGGAAAGTCGATTTGGCAATAAATCTTGATTTATTAGGTAATTTATTGAGTAATTTCAAAGTCGAATCTTTATACTCTATTTTATAATACTGTGTGTTCAGATGTGATCGTGACTTTATTCGATCTGGTCTAGTTTCCGGCGGAGGAGTCCTGATAGCCATAAAACGCGATTTCCATGCAATTAGAATTGACGCTAGTGCTTTGAGTCGAAACTTTCCGTCGATTGATACTGTATGGATTAGGCTTATTATTAACCATGAGCATTTTGTTATCTTTTCTATTTATATTCCGCCTTCAATTAATTTGGACATGTTTGGTCAGTACCTTGAAGCTTTGGAAGTATTTAACAATGCATTCAGTAATTGTAAAATAATTGTTGCTGGTGACTTTAATGTCGCATCACTCAACAGTGACGTTAATGATCAACAATTAATGAGCAACTTTATTTCGTTTTTAGATTTAACTAATTTTAATAATATTCCAAATATAAATGGTCGAATACTGGATTTAATTTTAGAAAATATCGAAATAGAAGTCCTCATAGATAATACACCTTCTGTTAAAGAGGACGTTCATCATCCTGCACTGATCATGGAATTCATTGCATCCGGATCTCCAACGAAATTCCCATTTGCTAATTCTCCACGGTTTAACTTTCGTAAAGCTAACTTTCCTGAAATTTACACAGCCTTGCAAGATGTTAATTGGACGGAGGTGATCAGTGCAGTTAATGTTGATGTCGCTTGTACCGCCTTGTATTCAGTTATCAATCAAATCTTTGAGGTCCATGTCCCTAAATGTAAAAGTAAAATGTTTTCGTATCACCCATGGTTCACACGTGAAATTATACTTAATATCAAGAAGAAGGACATAGCAAGAAGGAACTGGAAACGTGACGGTACTAAGTTTTCTTATGATCAGTTCAGTAATTTTAGGAAGCTCATTAAGAACCAGATCAGTGTTGCCTACTCCGCTTAGGTCCAATCGGTTGAGGATGCCATTGTCAATGATCCTTGCAAATTCTGGTCATTTGCCCAGATCAAAAAACAGCAATCTAGAATCCCCCCAAGGATGACGCAATAGTGGACAGTTTTGCTACCTTCTTTTCAACAGTTTTTATTCCGTCTGGTCTACTAGGGTCATCTCCTCCAACAAATAATTCTACCGATATCATTTCTTTAAAAAATATAAGTGAAGAAAACGTAATTAGTGCTTCGAAAAGATTAAAGAACAAAATGTCGTCTGGATGTGATGGTATTCCAAGTTTTTTCGTTAAATATTATAATATTATTAATATACTAGCGAAACCGCTGGCTTCCATATTCAACCTAATTCTAAAATCAGAGACATATCCAAATATCCGGAAGACCTCTAAAATATGTCCTATTCACTAAAGTGGAGATATCTCTGATATTTCCAACTATCGCCAAATAGCAATTCTGTGCAATTTCAGCAAGTTGTTTGAGATCATCGCTTATAAAACGGTTTACTGCTCGGTCAGGGGTGCAGTCTCTATTAATCAGCATGGGTTTATGAGAGGCAGATCTACGGTCACCATCTTGGCTCTGATTACTCAGTATATTTCTGAAGTATTGGACGGTCAGGGGCAAGTTGATGTCATCTACACAGATATTCAGAAGGCGTTTGATCAAGTTGATCATTATGCACTTCTGGATAAGCTTAAAACAGTGGGTATGTCTGATGCAATGCTGTCGCTCATGAATTCATATTTGAGGGATAGAAGGTTATTTGTCGAATATGGTGGTCATAGGTCGAGTTACTATCGAGCCACGTCCGGGGTATCTCAAGGGTCAAATCTAGGTCCATTATTGTTTTTAATATTTATTAATGACTTGTCTTTTGAACTGAAGTGTTTCCATTTGTTTTTCGCTGATGACCTTGAAATCTGCACGTCAGTCAACACAGTCGAGAATTGCGTCATGTTGCAAGATGACTTAGCTCTAATTTCGTCATGGTGTTCACGAAACTGCCTCAGTCTGAATGTTTCGAAATGTAAAGTTATGACTTATACAAGAAAAGTTAACTATTTAATTTATGATAATTATAACATCAATGGTCAGGTTATAGACAGATGCACCTCTTATAGAGACCTTGGAGTCACTTTTGATACCAAGCTAACGTTTACTGAGCATATACTCAATATCTCGTCGGCTGCCACTCGACTACTTGGTTTCTGTATCAGAAACTGGAAGGGTTTCTCCAATGTTGATACATTATTGACTTTATTTTTTACTTTTGTCAGGAGCAAGTTGGAGTATGCGACTCTGATCTGGTCTCCTATATACCAAAATTCTGTAATTGTAATTGTAATCGGGTTTCACCTCTGTTGGAAATAAATAAATAAATAAATAAATAAATAAATAAATAAATAAATAAATAAATAAATAAATAAATAAATAAATAAATAAATAAATAAATAAATAAATAAATAAATAAATAACATAGTGCCGGTACAAACGAAGGATTCTCGTATCTACTTAGTGTATAGGTTATTATCTGTGTACGTGACATGCACGAACATGTTGTTGAACAGAAGAAGGAGACAAAAATCATGGAAAAATACAGTGGACACATTTAGTACATACAAAAAATAAAAAGTACTACTAGCGAGGAAAAGCTGTCAAAAATCTTTGGTTTAGTACGATTTCCGTCACTCTCACTGCGACATATCTTAACAATAATTTAAAAAGTATATAAAGATATAAAAACATATTTTGTGTCTTTTAGAGATGTTTTCCCCAAAAGTCAATCAGGAAGACGATCATTTGATATAAAATGTAACTAAAATAGGAATTTCGGCAACATATTCATATGGTTGTAGTGGCTCTTGCAAAAATATTTTTTTAGCCGGCGGTAGTTGGAGCTAGACTGAAACCTTTTAATATACCTACCGTAGAAAATACCAGTTGACACGTAGAAAATCCAACTCTGACAAAATTTGGGTTCTTGCATTTTACCTGGAGGTCAATGCTTGAAATGAGGGAATAGAATAATTGATAGAAAGTGAGCATGGTTCTCTTACCGAGACACTGTATTCCAGAATGTTAATAGACAATCCAGACAGATGTAGAATTCTCGCCGACCTCCACCAGTCTCGTGTATGAATGCTTTAAACGTTGCAATAAAACGAAAATAGATGAATTGTCTAATTTATTTGATAAATGTCATACTCAAGATCTGCCAGAAAAGGTAATAGCTACTCCATTCCATCATTTAAAGAATTTTGATCCTGGAAGTAGTGATAGTTATAGAGGCATTACCTGACGTTTTTGTTGGTTAAAACTGTTATTTGTTCTTGATTGCAGCAGTTTTGAACTGAATGAAACGGATCTTCAAAGAGGTGACAAACTAGCTTAGATGATTTCCCATGTTTGTCTGGCCAATCAAACCACGTGCATTCAAAATATTTCATTACTGTAAACGTTTCGGCCCCAGCGGTGACTCTTTTCAGTACTAAATTGATGCTTTTTTAAGATGCTTTAGAATATCACCCTATGAAGTCTTTGTTTAGGTTTTGGAAACATCCTAAATGAAATAAATTTAATATTATAGCTAGACACAAACAACAAGCAGATTTGTTTCTTTCAGAATTCACGAAGATATGGAGCAGATATTTTCCATGACTACATTGCTCCAAACAGCTTCATCTCTATTCATGGTAGCTTCAAACATAATAATAGTGTCCACGTTGTCTACCGCTCAACCAGAATTTTGGTGTATAGTGCATTTCGTTACAGCTTGCATCATCCAACTTCACATGGTTTGCCATTTCGGAAGTGGAGTTACTGAAATGGTAGGTGATTTTTTTCACTTACAGTTGAGCTCAGGCATTGATACAGTCAGACCGAAGCTTAGTCTTTGGTTTCGGCCACATTAATTTAAAGAATACACTTGCAGACAGAAAGATCAAATGTTCGACCGGAAATTCCCTACGTGACTCCTGAGACGTTGACTAATAGTATTTAAATGCAAGATGCGTGCATCGCCTTACATTTGACGGATATGAAATGTGTTTAGCAAGCCTACAACATCGTCAGGTCCTTTGCTTACAATAAAAGGTTTCTATGAGATTCTTAAAAAATATATCGTTTTCAGTTTAATTAAATAATATGAAAGTGTTATCATTCTGTTCTTCTTGGATCGTTCAGAGCAACTATAGGAAGATGACTTTCTTAGAAATTTGAAGTCTTACTGATGTCATAATAGCCAATTCGCATCATTAAAATCGGAAAATGTGGACGGTCTACCTATGTCCACTCCATAAAAACTGAATGAATGCTTTGCTAATGATGATAAACGACCACTTAGGAAATATCTTTTTTTTAATAGTCATAGTTTTGCAATACCGATGTATGACATACATTATTGAAATAAGAATTAAAAATTTCATTCACTTCACTTGTGTGAAAGACCAAGTGATTTTGCCACTTTATAACGGATAAAAAGTGGCAATGTTAATGAGGAATTTATTATGAAATCCATCTTAAATGAAGCTAAGAAAAAAAGTAAAAGAGATTTTGAAAAAGTCCCGTTTTTTGTCGTCTCCTAAAATATTTCAAATTGCAAAAATTCCTAGTGCCACTTTATTAATTACCTAAAAACAAAACATTGCCCCCGTTCAAGCAACTTCAGTATCTGTTATCGTTTCCGAGATCCCAATGGTGATAGTCGAATTTGAAACAGCCGGTACATGACCAGACTTATTTTGTTTTAGTGCTTCTATTTCAGGCGTATCACCTACGAATGTGAGTGGTACAGTTGCAGCAAGAGATTCAAGACGTGCATGTTAATGATGATGGTCCGTATGGATAAGCCAATGTATTTGACTGCTGGAAAGTTTTTCCCTTTGACTTATGGTACTATTATTACCGTAAGTTTCTGCAGCATAGCTTGTATTTTCGAAAAGATAATTTCTTAAGTCAGATTATTTCAAAAGACTTTTTCCTTTTATCACCTATACTGCTTTCATTTCTTGAAACATGCGAGTTATATTTGCATTGATTCGTCCATAGATATCAATTAGTGCACAGAAAATTGTTGATAAGGTGACTGTTTGCTACAAGTTTGGATTGAATAAACAAAAAGTGAGAAATAATTGACAAATACGGGAAATTGATATGAAGCTAATAATAGACAATCGTAAAAATACGCTTCTTATATAATAACTTTCATATATTTTAGGTAGTCAGAGCAGCATATTCCTATGCAGCAATGTTTAGAAATGTGGGATGAAGGCTGGTACCAACTGAAGTTATACAACATATATATTTGACTTTGAATAAGAGCTAATTCTTACCTATACTATATTCAGAGTACATTATACAATTTGTTTCTAGTTGTGATATATCATATACCACATTGTCTATCAATTTCACAGCTACATGGATATTGTGTCATTGTGTATATCGCCATAAAATAATAAGCCACAAAACATGGACATACACGTTGTTTTTCAATTCGTAGTGAATGTGCTACGTTATGAGACATCATCCTTCTGTGTCAAAAATTGGGTGATAAGAACAAGAGAGCAAGAGTTCAGTTTCGGTTGCTGTTCAGCAATGATGGTAATTGTGCATTGTGTACCTGAAAAGAACTTGAAGCGCTCTGATTTTCATTTTTTCACAAGGCACAAAACTTTATATTTACATTTTTGGTGAATGTGTATCATTGTCCAAAACGGCATCAGCGTATTGATCTTCTTTGATAATTTTGGGAATGTACCTAGTCTAAAACAAAGTGTGTCAATCTGAACGAAATATTTCATAGTTGTATTCTAGATGCATGTATTTATTTTACTAGTTAATAGTCATTGATAGTTTTTAAAATGTTTGGAGTATTCGAGTAGTTTTTAGAGCCGTTTGTATACAATATCCAGATTTGTATCTGCAAGTCTATTTCGGTATTTATTTTTACTAAACTTCAAATTGGAAAAGGAAGATTTCCACAAGCAGATAGAATACGACATAGTTAATACTTGTTTTTTTACCATAGGCTTGATACAGACTGTTCTTGAGATTAGTGACTAAAGGCCGTCTGTCTCGATACGAAATGTTGTGATAAATTTAGTATGCTAAATTCCGTAAAAAATTAAGGATAGTGTCAGACAGCATTTAGCACATAATTTGTATAAACAAATTGAGTGATAAATTTTTAGAACCTGTTCTAAATAATCATGCTAAAAGTGTGCAGACCCCTACTAAGCATTTGGAGCAGTACAATGGCTGTTAGAAGCGCTACATGTTTTGTGTTAACTCCTTGGTTTACTCTTGACGTTCATCAGTTGTGGTCAGTTGTGTTCATCAGTTTGGTGAAACTCCTGTGCTTATGCTGTATGCTGTTCTACTTGTAGACTGAAAAACTTAAAAGATGCTCAAAAGAGTGTGACGTACTACTAAACGAGTATGTCAAATATGATTGTTTATGTGCTCTAAAAAGCAAGGTCTATAAAAACAGAAACGCCAAATAAGCTTCGTTGGATAAAAACAGAATGACTTTATAACCAATTAGGCCGATATGCCAGTGGATCCTTCCCTAGAGGTCCTTTATTTAGCAGCTGAAGTACATTCTGGTCCCTCTCCCTGATTCATTTTCGACAGCAAATCCGTTTACGGTTTTGCTTACTTCGTTCTTTCATGAGGTGAGAAGCTACAATGCAGGTCGCTGGGATCACTTATTTTCTACATTTTTCTATTCGTTTAAAGAAATAAAGTACCAAGCTGCAACGAGTTAGTGTGGTTAGTATGACATGATAAATGGCAGTTTGAAATTGACAGTTAGAGTTTTTTCTACCGAATGCGCATTATTTCGTACGAAATTTATTACAAAAATTGTTTTACGTGACATACAGGATTGTAATTTAGTAAAAAAATTGGAACTAAATTCAGTAACGCATTTTCTCACAAAATTCAGTATCAAATTCTGAACAAAATTTTGAATCGTGACAGACGGCCTTAAGTCTAAAGCATTTTCACACACTAGCTGTTTCATTTCTGTTGCAGCAATGTCTCTTTGCCAAAGTTCTGCGAACTGCCGAATGTCAATTTCCATAAAAGGTGAAACAGCAATATGAGCAACCAAATTTATTTTAATGTAATGCTTAAAACGATTTTGCAAGTTTTCTTTTAAGCTAGAAGCTATTTCTAAGAATATTCACTGTCATAGGGTTCCGTTGGATCTAGACATACCTTTTCTGAATAAATAAAAAAATTCTTAGTATCTGGTTGATTGTTGTTGCTTCTGCTTGTGTTAGTTACAACAGATTGCGAAATTTGAGGAAGTATTTCTACACTTTTGTATTTTTATGAATGATTTTGGTCAGTACCCATCTAGCGCTTATTGGGGAGTGTCATTCTTCTCCGAAATGGCTTTCACCGTACACGCAGGCCATGATAATTCTGTAATGGTGTTTGTTATATTATGCGATCAATAATACAGGATGTGCTGATTTTATCACCATCGGTAGATGGGCAAAGATAATTCTAAAGTAAATTAAAACACTAAGTCGCCTCAAAATTAAAATAAATAGTTCTAATCTAAATGAAACCATTAAATCAAATGTTCGAACAGTCCTTTTATTGGGTTTGACAGTAACCTAGCATAATATTGTAGAAGCCCGAACATTTTCTCGTGTAACATATTGGCAACACGTCGCATTGCACGACCTCCTGCGTCACCGTTGTTGGGCAATGTGGTGATGATCTTTGTTCTACTTTCGCTTCTAGCTTCTAGCATGTGTTGATACACACTTCTAGCGCTTCTCTCTCGTACACATTGAACTCAAGCCGTCAGACAAATTTGGGTTTCCCTGTATGATTAAAAACACAGATCAAAATACAGTTGATAAGAGTTTGAAATCATTAGTATAGACAAACAAAAATATACGAGCACGTAAAAATAGAAGCATTTTAAGAAATGAAACATCATCAATTTCATGAAGTCGGTAATAAAACTTAATCCAGAACGTGAGACAGAGGAAAAACTGGTTCAAAAACAACAAGCATGTATAAAAATAGAGAAGAGCAACCTTACCAAATGAGTGTTGCAACAAACACGTCACAGGGGATGTAGTTATATCAGATACAGGTAAATAAGAAAAACAGAAAAACAGAATGAAGGATGAACTACATATTAGTAGTCTAGTTTAGTTTATAAAGTATCTTGTGCGGATTTGGTATAGGTAAAACTAAACAAAATCTAAAAAATAGAATTGAATCTCATAAATCCTAAGTTCACAGAAATGAGAGGAAACACACAACTTTGGCATCTTATCATATTCAGAGTTTCGACTCTATCAGCTTATCAGACAACGAAACCAATCATAAAAAAGGTGAAATAATTTTCACCTTTCTGTATAGTAAGGCGGTGAACAAAAAACAGACACGGTTTATCTCACTCAGATTTACACTTTCTAGTAAAATAATTCAAAATTTATCAGACCTTAGTAGATTTCATTATTTTTTTAATGTCCGTGACTGCTCCTCGTATTGATACGTCTTTCGACGAATGGTCTGAAATTCTTATTTGGGCTTAGTTATTTTAATGAAGCAGACACTGGTATCGCACATTGTATAATTTTGTTTCATTTATGTATATGTGACATAGGTCTTTTGACGTGTATGTTTGCAACTCAAACTTGGAACATTTATTGTTTTTTAACCAGGTTTTATTTTGCCTTATGTTTTTAATACGGTTTTAATTACCAACTTCGATAAGTTATAGAGATATTTCATTTCTTAAAATTGTTCTATTTTCATATGTTTTTATCGACGTATATTTTTGTTTGTTTGTTTGAGTATGTATTGTTCTTTAACAGTTCTCCTATTTTGATCTATTTTTAAGCATATAACTTTATTTGGTAATAAATTTGATTTTGCGTTAAGGTAAAACAAGAGGTCCAGGACTTTTGAAGTGAAATTCGACGATATTCATTCATTGCTCCTCGATGTATCGCTTCTCATCAAATTTATAAATAAAATTAAGGCAAATTTCAAGAAGCTGGCATGATATATATAATACAAATCACAAGGTTTATTTTACGCTATCCTGTACATACTGCTGGTATTTTTATTGCATAACATTACTGAGACACCTCGTATATACTCGATACGATGGCAGTTTCACTAAGAGCATCTAGAACCTCCAAGAAAAAAGCACCTTACCGTTCATGTCTCTTATGGAATAATTTTACTGGCCCATCATATACAAAATGAAGCATTATAATGAGAAGTAGTCATTTGAAAACCCTTTTAATATTGATACCTTACAGTTTTTCACAGAAGAAAAACCTGATAAATAATTCATCAAGGAAATGGTACCCCTAATGTCACCTCTAATAAACACAATCAACCAAGAATCCTGCTGCTACGCTTTGTAATTATTACACCTAAACACCGTTGCACAAAGCTGACAATGTAAAAAGTCCACAATCAATACACATAATTATGAGTAATTGCTCCTTTAAATAGCTAAAATCTTAGCTCTATGCCCAGTACGGCACAGAATGACGTCTAGAAGCAATAACGATGACTTTTTCGCTACGTTAGACCTGCTCATCCAGGTTATCGGTGTTCCAGCTGCACCTAAGGAAAATAAAGTTTTGAATGTTATAATTTACACCTGGGATGCTGTGGTTTTTGTGTATGCCATCGTTTGGTGTTACCTGGAAGTGGTCGGCTGTTACCACATAATCTGCGATTTGACACTCTTCTTCCAGGTATATATGAAATACCCCTTCCATACGCTTAGATATCATCCTATTATCTTTTTTAATTTGACCTTTTGTGATAACTATCTAGGTACACTACTCAAAAGAATTAAGCAAGCAAGAAATAATGTTTCGGTTATTTTTGACAGGCTGTCTTTTGGTGGAAGGTGGTCGTATCTAGACTAAAAAAGCATTTAGAAACTTCAAGATTCCAGTTTTTAGGGTTTTTAGCAGAACAATTTCAGAAGCAACGGTTCTCATGCAAATTCTAACAGATAGCACTGTTAGGCCATTATATGTATCATGTAGCCCGTTAATTCAGCTTTTCTGGTTTTAAAATCTGTATACGAAAGGAAGACCACACTTTTGGAACTGCTAATGAGAAGACTAATATTTTCATGTTCTTTTATACATCAATGTACCCCTAATAATCCTGCACAACAGCAGATTGATCCATTGTACTGTTTCTCTGGGCCGGCAAATTCTTAAGTCCGCCTTTGAAACCCCCCGCAAGATATTTTCTAGATCACCCCCTGGTCAGTATTTCGGGTTTTTGGAATAAAAGAACAAAATGTTTTCGATTGCTTTTTCCAAATTGAAGGCGTTACACATATCTAATGGTAACAACAAAAGAAGAAATATATGTTTTCCATTTTCAACTAGATTACACGATTTTCTGATACAAAAAGTTTGCTCCTTCGATTTCTTCAAAGTTTTGATCATTGGGGCAAACACAAACAAGGCAAAAAGTAACTTTTTTATACTTTATTAAGATCAATACTGAGGAAACAGAAAAAAAATCCTCAAAGATTGGAATCGAATCTTATAGGAGGTTTATTCTAGTTTTTGGAAATACCCTTTCACACTCTTTACTTGTTACCGACATATCAGTGATCGATGACGAAAGGATTATTCTTCATTCAAGTATATCAGATATCTCCGCGCCAAATAATAGAATGGAGATTTTAGAAACTGCCTGCCAAAATCACTGACAAATTTGGATGTTTTCCTTGCTTCCTTAATTTTTTTGAGTAGTGTTGAAAAGCAATGGGGTATCTACCGAATGCAAATTGATTTCAGTATCTGTTAAACTTATTATAGGGTAAGAAGTAAACCGTTTTAAGTGGTCAAGCAGACATTCGGTATTTTCCTAGTATAGTAATCTGTACATATTGTCGCTTTAATGTAGAAGACGCTTATGACTAAAAATGCAACTTTATTCTACTGAAATATCAAGATATTTCAATACAAATTATACCAATTCTTTCTCAATGATGGTGCTTAATTTTTAAACGTTAAACCTCTCGCTGGATGAAAGCCATCGACAAGTCTTCTAGTAGATTGTCTAATGTCCTACTCGATCATTGATATTTATATATATATTTACATATAAAAATAATTCGTTTGCTTGAGCATAGGCTTATTTTGTGCTAAACAGGATATGTTTGCTTTCCATCCCTGTGGCCATAACCAATCGTTTACAACCTTGATTCATGCTTTTTAGCAATGATCTGTGCGGTGTAGGCCAGTATGTAATGCGTGAAAAAGGTGACGAAGCCACCAAACGCGATACTACCGGCCCCTACGACAAAGGTACCCTTCGGTGAAACGGAAAAGTGTCCACCATCTAGGCCTCTCACCCAAGAAGTGTTAATGGCACTTGTTAGCAGTATTAGTAATATCCTTATTTACTAATATAAAAGCAGCACCTACCATGACTTTTTAGACTAAGATTATACTTCTGCATAGAATGAGCGATACCCCAATCTATCGTTTACCGAAAAAAGTCAAAATTAACAAAAAATTGTCTTAAATGACTGTTCTACATATTCCTTTCTTTAAAAAAAATACAAATAATTACGTAATCCTTAAAGATATTTGGGATGTATTGAATTAATATATTCCTGCCTATTTAGGTAGGGTTACAAACAATTTTTATTTTCAAGGAAAAATGTGTCCTACTTTGTGAAACGTTTTCTACGAGTGTTGCATGCATTTTTTGGTCGTATATTGAGGTTTAAGTTTTTTTGCAAACTACATATCCAAAAGTATATAGTATGTGTCCTTTTGGTTAGAAATCTAAAATAGTTTCGCAGTTACAATTGAATAGGTCAATTCAAAAACAAATTTTTTTTTTAGATGCTTTTTTTGTCGGTAACGCTTCCTTAAAGGTAGATGTCTATAGAGTGGACTGTAGCACCATCTATGAGCCACTAACCTTCTCAAAGTAGATTTCTAATTACTGCGGAGAGGATAATGATATCTATGACACGGTATCTCATTTCAACTCGGATCATGGACGCGCGAATATACTATTAGATTGGCTATCTTCAGGTAGAATACGTTAATCAATAGTCAAGCAAAATGAAAACTTGCTAATTTAGGTGTAATTTCCAATAAAAAGCAATAAAAAATATGATTAATATGATACCTTTGCTTGAGTCATATACCACTAACTCTATTTCTTGTTCAAACAACGTCAAGTACACTTTTTCGGCTTTTTAAATTATTATTGTTATTTATAAATTGTGAGATTTATTTGACATTTCAATCTGTCAAATACTATTATAATACTATTGCCTCCTGAAAAAATAAAATTATGTGATTCATTAGGTTTTTAATATCACCGGTCCAATTCTTACGGTACTAATTTAAAAGCATTCTTATGTTTTTCAGCATTTCGGAGTAATGGTGGCCCATATTTTGGGCTTGCTCAAATTCGCTGTCATGACTGGGCAACAGAGAGAGCTTAGTGACATCAAAAAGAGGCTACAAACTACAGTGTCCACTTATGAATCAAATGGTGATAACATAATACGCTAAACATTGTTTTATATATTGAAACCGTTAAAGTAGGATTCCTATGATACGACAGAGACGACTGCAGCTGGATGACTATAGTCATATTGCGTCACTAATAAAATGTGTTTGGAATAGAATTTAGCTTAATTTAACACCTGAAACATAACCTGTGGTTATCGTGCTCATAATCCTACATGCTTTTCTGACCGCTAACTGGAATCACATATGTTTGAAATACTGTTCACTGTTGACGACGTTTTGGCCACAACGACGGCATTCTTCAAGTACAATTTGAAGCGAAAAACAGACCGGAAAGACGGTTAAAAAATGTGTTGTCAGAATTGTCAAATTGTACTTAGAAAAGGCCAGACAAACATGAATAATTTTACTTTTCCGTTTAATCATATCTTGTTTATTCATCTTTGTAAAGTTCGTCCAATAAATATAATAAGCTTAAATAATATTATAATCAGATTTTTCACAACCTTTTCAGCAGGGCTTATCGGATATTTAGCTTTTGTTACAAAACTATTCTAATATTCATTATATCGATAAAATATAAATAAAATCGACAATGTTCACATCGAAAAACTGTCTGAATACTAATCGCTTAAAATATGTATCTGATTTGAAATATTTTGAATCCTATATACAACGGATTAGCTTTTGGTTTTTCAAGCTGGACAAGTAACAACAACTATACTTCTTCCTCAACTAAAAGAAGCAATACTGATGTATGATGTTGGTCATGGAACATCTGAAATGCAACAAGGAGTCGCGCCATAGGAATTTATCTTAGCGCCTAGGATTGCACCAGCTACACTCGACTCAGTGTTAGCATAGGAATCACACCACCAGCTTCAATTTTATATTTTCGGATTATGCTTCTATTGTAAAAGAGATTCTAGTTTTTGAACATTTTGTATTTTTGTTACGTAGTCGCCTTGCATGACCAAAAAAAAGATTAAGTGAGAGACATAATGTCGAGTTTCGGTTAACAACACACATGACCCCTACAATATTTGTGCCACTTATTAAACTCCACGCTACTGGGGTTCTCGTTAAGTTTTTTTTGCAAAAACAATCAGACCGTTGAATATATATTCAGGTTCAAAATAGATGCAACAAGCAAAATTTTAGTCAAATTCGTAACGCCAGAGCTTTTTTATTTTTCACTTGATTGAATTGATTACTTTGGCAGGCGGTAGATTCACTCATTAGCTTTATGGTGTAAATATGAGTTCTAGCTTGTAGTCATGGTTTCACTTGTTGTACAGGGGAAATCAAAATGATGTTTCATTACCTTAACTTTGAGTTACTCTGTGGAGTGACATTAGTTGCGAATCAGATCGCAATGTCTTCCATTATTAAGATCCGCATGTTTTTTATAAAAGTTTTTTTATCTGCGTCAATATACTTACTGTACTCTGTGGTTGGCGTTTTAGAGGCAAAAGAAACTTTTACCACCAATCTTGCTTCTTCCTTCCATAACTTTTTTTGATTCTGATACGAGGTCAAAACGTTTTTCATAGATTTGTTCAGAAATCTATTTCCATTCTGTGTTAGGTTCACGTTTTTTTATCGTCATTGCTTCCGTTTATCTACAGTGGCAAAGAAAATTAAAACTTCTGGCTTAATTTCAGGACTCGCTGTATAATAATCTCACGCTCTACCCTCCTGAAATACAGTGTCAGGGCAATAACCATATCTTCCTTATCCTCTAATTTTGGGTTCATGAAAATTGAATTGAGCCTCACCTGGGACTTGTACTGAGTGGGAAAGATCTATCAACCCTAACGCAGAAGGGCAATAGATTTCTGTACAATTTGGTGAAAAACTTTTTGAATTCGTACGTGAATTAAAAAAGCTATGAAAGGATGAAGGAAAATTGGTGGTAAAATGTTGATTTTCATTTAAAACTTCAACGGCCTGAGTGGCGAATGGATTCACACCCCAGAGTTACTCAAAGTTGGAGTAACGAAACATCATATTGATTTACCCTGTACAACAAATCAAACCCTGGCTGCAGTGAAGAACTTATATCTACACTTTAATGTCTATGAGTCTACCGACCGCTTGCCGAAAAAAAATGATAAAATCGAAGTACAAGTCAAAAAGTTATGACGTTCAGAATTTGACTAAAATTGCGTTTGTTGCGTACATTTTGAACCTGAGTATATATTAATGTAATCTCTCAGAAAATGTAACACTAATTTGTTCAAATATTCAGGGGTCACAACCCCCGCTCTGAGTGTATATTATTTTGTGAGTATTAAGGTACTTTTGAAATCTTAATCCGACCAGTTTCGGAAGTCTTCTTGATCATGTAAAATATTCGAAATAACTAACTCATGCTATTAGAATATTCCACAGTGTGTGTTGACGTTCTTTCTATCTAGGTAATATCATGCCAGAAAAGCTCATGGAGGAAGCCAGAATATTTTGCAAGCGGTTTGTAATTATCCTATTTATGATCTACTTCATGGTGGGAGGAACATCTCATTACTCGGCCTACAAACGTTTGAATGAAGAACAACCTTACATCTATTTTCAAAACGCCAGTTGCTATGACTTCATGCCACACTATTACATGATCCCATTCAAAACGGATACCATATCTAGCTGTAAAGGGGCTTTAGTGATAATGGATCTTGGAATGGGTGTTCTGGGTTTATACATTGCCGGTAAGCACATATTTATGCTGAGCACATGGTATATCGTAACTCCGTTGTAATGAACGATTCATTCAGGGAGGAATCTTTTTCAAAAATTAAAAATAATCGAGTGTGGTCGGCTATTTTAAATAGGAGATTCGAAAAAGCTTCCGTTGAGGCTAAATTTAACTCCCGGGTATTTAGGCCTTAGGCCTGCGTGGCAGCTCAGGCATCAAACAATACATGCCTATTGTCTACCGCAATGCTGTCTGTAATCAGCAAAGTAAAGGTGATCTGAAATGTTTTCCATTTGGCAAGCGAAATTAGAATTCAACTTGCTTCTTGCATCTTGCTTTTTATATCTAGGTATTTAGAAAGATAGACCGATCACTACAATCAATCGAGAAGTATCCAAAGGCACAGCCGGCTTTCATGCAACAAAATTCTACCACGTTCTGCTAACTACACTGTGTCATCAGGTTCAGCATAATATTTTTTAGCATATGATGCCTCGCTCACTATGATATTAATCTGCTTGAAAACCAACATGCAAATTCTATGTGAAGCTACTCGAACCATTAGAGAAAGAACTCTTAAGAAACTGAATTTACCTGAATCTAACAGTACATTTAGAGACGATGAAATCCCAGAACTGGAGAACGGAATGTTCATGGAGATTAAAAAGTGTAATTTCCATATGGCCTTTTTGATGAGGTAAAAATCATACAGTAAATTTCGATTAATTCATCATTTGTGATTTTACTAGGGTTGTCCCTTAAGCTCAGCCCTTAACCCACTTGCAATAAAGTTACATTTAATTTATGTTTGCGATATTGTCTCATAATGTCTACACTAATATCTACAGACTTGTCCAATCGGTGATCCGGAATTTCATAGTTTTTTAGTGAAAATTACATTTTTTGCGGACATTTACGTCTCTGAGGGGCAAAATTTGTCAGGAGGCCTAACCAAATTTTGTCAAATCCCAAATGGAAGGTGAAATTCGAGGCTAAGATTTTTCACAAATAGTTTGTTTTGAAGATGAGTAAATGATATCTGATATTGTATTAAATAAAAAGTATCATTCAATAGAAATGTCAGAATACGAAAATATATTTATGTAGAACATGGATGGTTGATAACGCATACCAGATGGACTCCCAAGTGCAGAGACTAAGATATGTAATAAAATGATTAAACATAACATTACAAGTTTTATTTTTTATAGGGCTCACGAAGACATAGAGAACACATTTTGCATTATCACGTTACTTCAAACCGCGTCATCTCTGTTTATGATAGCTTCTAATTTGATCATACTATCTACGCTGACACCCAGTAATCCCTTATTTTGGTGCATTGTGCAATTCATCGTATCGTGCATCATCCAACTCACTATGTTCTGCTACTTTGGTAGCAGTATCACTGAAACGGTAAGGCAAGCACAAATGATAAACAGGGTAAGTTTTTAGATAGGTCGATAGCTTCGCTATTTTAAAACATACCGAATAAAGTTGTTTACAAAAATTGTATGCAGCTATACACGTCTCACTGTATATATTGGCGCATTTTGAAATGCCTTTTTAAATGAATAAGTTGGATATAGGTTTTGGATTGCTGATTTTGGAGCTACGGACAATTTTGTCCTAAAAAATACTCAGCTTTGACGGCTTTTTAGTCTTCTTGCCGGGTAAAGTATCAAACTTATTGTCAACACGAGCTTCATATCTCATAGTTTCTCATCATTTAAAAATATACCTTTTCTGGAAAAATTCAAATCAAATGCTCTTTATATTTTGTAGTTTTGAGTTATTCTTTTTATTGTCCTCATTTTGGTGTAATATCTGGGGTTAATTAATAAATTTTTGATATATTCACAGTTCCCCAGAAATTATAATTCAAAATAAATTAGGAGCATTTCTAGTAAATGGGAGGTTATCTTAATGAGGGGTTGTACGCACCCATTGAAAGCTCTCACGAATCATCTGGTATCTATTTATTTTGAAATTTCATTTCTGGAAAACTGCAAATAACTCAAAAATTCAGTAATACAACCCTGCAAAAATGTTACAGCATGATAAAGATTTTATATAAAATAATCCGAAATCATAAAGATATAGTGTAGGTTCGCCTAAGAGTACGCGTTTTCTAATAGTACCCAACCCCCAGAATTTTAATATGGCAACACTGCTGCCCGATATTTTCAATTTTAAACGAAGCAAGAGATCGCATTTTAAGGGAAGAAAGCAAAAGAACAATTGCCAGGAGAGTAGTAGGACAACATCGATTCTAACTCATTTGGTAACCCATCCATCAGGTTCTGTTAGTTTGCCCTCTATTTGACCTTGGGTATCTGAAGACTTTGCAGACATGCAAGAAGTGTATCGCCAATGAGCAGAGGGTGAGATGTGCCAAAACGTGACGTCATGTATGCAGAAAAAAAGGCCTAAATACCATGTGACACACAAAAGTGAGTAGTGATTGAGAAAAGCTTTATACATATGCAAGAGACAAGCCTCGCCTAGCCAAGCCTAATTTCAATCATCCTCTAGTCATAATAATAATACTAATAATAATAAAATGAGAAGAGAAATAAATGAATCGACGGCGGTAGTGTGATATTAATATATTTAATCGTATATAAAACAACTTATATCTGAAGCTGCGATACTCGTATGATGGAATGTGTTTTTGAAACACCGCCGTCGTTTCATTTATTTCTCTTCCCATATTATTATTATTAATATTATTATTATGACTAGAGGATGATTCAAATTAGGCTTGGCTAGGCGAGGCTTGTCTCTTGCCAATGCATAAAGCTTTTCTCAATCACTACTCACTTTTGTGTGTCACATGGTATTTAGGCCTTTTTTTCTATATACATGACGTCACGTTTTGGCACATCTCACCCTCTGCTCATTGGCGTTACACTTCTTGCATGTCTGCAAGGTCTTTAGATACCCAAGATCAAATAGAGGCCAAACTAACAGAACCTGATGGATGGGTTACTAAATGAGTTAGAATCGATGTTGCCCTACTACTCAGGAGGTTTGGCGTAAATGAATGCACGTTAAGAAAAAGATTGAAAAAGGGAAATAATTTGACTTGAGCAGTCAGCAGTCTGGGTAGGTTATCACCCATATTTTCAACCGCTCAAGAAAACGAATTAGCCGGTCATATCCGAGATCTTGACGTAAGATTTTATGGTCTTTGTACGAAAGATGTTAGGTCTTTGGCATATCAGTATGCTGAATTGAACCAAATTGACCATCGATTCAATAAGGATACAAAACTGGCAGGAAGACATTGGGTACAAAAAACACCGGAGAAATGCAGCTTGGTAGGGCCGTTGGCTTCAATCAGATTCAATGTCAAAGATTTTTTTATAATCTCAAATTAGTTTACGAAAAAACAAAAGCTCCACCCCATAGAATTTTTAATATGTACGAGACAGGGTTGTCTACCGTACCAAATAAAATGCATGAAGTGTTTTCCACAAAAGGCAAAAGGACAGTTTCGAAAGTGGTGTCTGCTGAAAGAGGACAGTTAATGACAGCAGTCTGTTGCATGAGTGCTTCAGGTATTTGGGTGCCACCAGGTCTTATCTTTGCACGAAAACGCATGAAAGACGAGCTTTTCTATAGAGCACCACCAGGTACCCTAAAAATGATCTCTTATTCTGGGTATATAAACACTGACTTATTTATAACATCAGAACAAAATCCGGTAGTGCTGTTGATGGACAATCATGTGTCGCGTTGTTCTCTAGAAGCGATCTTGTTTGCTAGAAGTCACTTCATTACCCTCTTGACATTGCCTCCCCATGCAAGCCACAAGATTCAACCATTGGACAGAGGATTTTTCTTTCCATTGAAATCAGTTTTTTCTTCGGAATGTGACAAATGGATGGTAAATCAGCATGGGAGAACAATAACCATGAAGGAAATGGTAGCACTTTTTCATGCTGCCTACTAAAAAGTAGCCACGATTATACCCATTTAATCCGGATGTCTTTTCTAATGTGGATTTCGCTCCAGCCGAAGTAACAAACAGACCTTTGTTAGATACTGAAAATGCTATCAATGCCGACTCTAGCGATGACGATATGCCTCTCTCCGTATTTGTAAGAATTAAAGATAAAATCAATTGCAAAGCCACCGAAAATAGAACATCCAGTCAAAGTCCAGTTTTTAATCAAAACGCAAGTGCAACTAATACGCCTGTTGTTGATCTTAACGTACCAGGCCCATCTCATGTTACCCCAGGAATGATTGTACCCTTGCCTAAAGCTAAACATGTGCAGATACGAAAACACAAGTCAAAAAAGTCAGAAATACTTTCGTCTACACCTTATAAGAATAAGATGTTGGAAGAATAAGAAGAAAAGGAAAAGAAAAAATGCGGCAAAAGAAATGTGTTCGGATCTTGCTCTCGAAACGTTCCAAACCCCACAAAAATAAAGAAAACGCCAACCGCTAAAGAAGATGATTCAATTTGCCCTGGATGTAACGAACATTTTAGCACATCCCAGTGGATAAAATGTGACAGCTGTCAGATTTGGTAGCACGAAGACTGCTCTAGTTACCTGGGAACAAACGTGTTTACTTGCGATTATTGCTAAATTGTTACACTTAGCACATTTTACAGAAGAATAACTCTTAAAGTTTCTTATTAGTTATCATTCATATATGCGTACTCTTTGGTTTATATTCTGCGTACTCTTTGGGACATGCGGCCTTAATAGTACGCATTTCATTTTTCTCATTATTTCCCTTATAATGTCCTTAAATTGCTTATCGTGATGAGTTCGTAATATGTGTTAGTTGAGTAACTATAGAAGTTATCGAATTTTGAATAAAAATTATTTCTAAAATAAACAGTTAGGTTTTTATTTCAGTCTAAAGCTTAGGTGCGTACTCTTAGGCGAACCTACCCTACAGGATGTTTGATTTGAATCTTTTGAGAAAAAACACATGCTGCATTTATCAGCATACATAGAGTATGCACAGCATTTAAAAAAAGTTTGAAAGCGAGAAATTACGGCATACCAAAATTTAATTTGGTAAAAAGTTTGCTAGTGTTTCTGCAAAAGTGACTGACTTACAAGTTGCCAAAGTGGACAAAATATCCTGCAGCCCAATATAACGATCAGCACCGTACGGTATGTCATATCAACTGTTTTCCCTGGACGAGTCCTTCCAGAATATAATAAAATGTGCCGTACATTTAAAAAATATGATTATGTTGCCACGTACTTATGAATCACTGTACAGTGTCTGTCAAATTTTTCATGTATGTCCCATTTCACCAGTGTCCATCACGCTTTGACGTCTACTGAGGTGAACAGCTAATACGCAAGAACTTTTCTAAATAAAAGAGCTGTTAGCAAGTACAAATTGAATCTGTAGCTTACAAGAAACCAATACAAAATACGGCTCTGTCTACCTGACGTTGACGGATCCGTCAGAATTATGTTTCCTCTGCCGATATTGGGTATTATGAGCTATTACTAGATAATCAGCTGTCAGTGTACCGTGATGAATACTCGTAAAATAGGGTATAAGAAGCGTATGTTTTCTTATAGTATCTATTAATAACTTTTTGGGTATCCTTCATAATAACTGATCTATCAACCGCTTAAATCCTAAGAACTCACTCTGCGGATACTTTCTATTTGGGTTTTCATAATTCACCACGATGAAAATTATTATGTATGTTAAAAAGCATCATATCTGCTTCCTTCATAGAATTCAGTGTCAGGTTATTAATTATTGTGATTATTATCAAGTATCGGATTTGTTTTTTTAGTGCTATACCTATAGACGAATCGTGTATGCCTGCGATTGGTATAGTAGCAGTAAAAGATTTAAGACATGCATTTTGATGATGATGGCTCGAATGGAAAAACCCATGTACCTGACTGCAGGAAAGTTCTATCCACTGACGCTGAACACAGTAGTCACCGTAAGTTTCATATTTTTTGTATTGAATCGGCTACATCTTCCCAAATCCCACAGTTGGATGTACGTCGGGTTACACATAGATATGCGAGTAATTTAAATGGTTTATGTTGTATTATTTGTAGTACAGCACCTAACAACTGTACATTAAATATGGCGTGTAGGTTCACTCTGCACTTCCAATGCAACGCTGTTATCAGTTCATAAAGGCGTATGATCGGCTCAAGTTTGTCCCTTTGAGCTAGCTACAAACATTTACCTGTATAGCAACAAAATTTGATGGGTCAAGTCAGCCAAACAGGCCCATATACAATTGGTACACACAAAATAGCCTCCACCAATTTGATAATGCAAACGCTATTTTCTCACCTGCCCTAGGCATCGACCTCCGGCAACGCTGCTGGACCACACCAGTCAACACATCATGAGCGTCAGCTGCGATACTATAACCACCCTGCCGGCGATGCTGTCAGACTCAAGGCAGGTTTCGGCGTATGAGTCTTGTCTATAAATATTTCTCTACTACCGCCAACACAATGAGATACACCTTCCCAACCTCCTATTTTCAACTCCTACAAATGATGATCATGATGTCAAAAAACAATGTTATTTTCATTTATTTCGTATTTTGCACCTAGCTCCGCCACCACTGGACCGATTTTCAAAAATTAAGCTTTTTAGTCGTTGACATAGTAGGAACTTTGCGTGGAAATTTCATCCAAATCCGAGTAGTACTTTCCAAGTAATAGGCGGTCCAACGATTAGCGGACAGACTGACAGACAAACAGACAGACAGACTGGCGGAAATGAGTGACTTATTTTTTCGTGATGATCAAAGCTAAGAAAGCTCTGCATTGTATTTGTTACATTTTTAAAAACAACATGAGACACAAACGAGAAGCTATGGATTACGGTTCTGATGGTCCCATATTAGTAGTTTCCGGTAATTTCGATTTCGCTTCCAATGATTTCGATTTCGGTTCAGGTGGTTTCGATCCCGACGATTTCGAGAATTCCGAAGGCTTCGATTCAAATCGGGTGGAATTGGATTTGGACAAACTGTTTGAAAGGAACCATACTGGCCGAATTCGTATATTGCTGCTACTAGAACAAGAATACTCGCACTAATGCTTTTGATTGCAGCGGCTCCAAATGAGGAACGATCCATAAGATAATGGCACAGAGTAATACAGTTTGGAACATAGACGATTTATGCTTAGTCGCCAATGTTCTCAATATTATATTTTTAATAAGGAAGTGTTATTCCTCGCAAATACTACTGCTATAAGTGCAAAATTTTTGAGTTCATTTTTTTTATGATACTTTGACATATACATCACGAAAACCTATGTCTGCGATCTATTGTCTTTCTTAAAAACATGTTGGATAGTATGTTAGGTCGTGTAACGATGTAACCTTAAAAAGGAAGATGTTCCAAATTAGACCACATGTGGGTGGTTCATTGAAGAGGCCTGCTTTAAACTTTTCGTCGATCAGAATCAGAACATTATGTCGATGATACTGGTGCTGGTATTTAATCAGAATGTGTAAGAGCCCGCTAAGCAGAAGACAACGTCGGATATGACCACTTGTCCCACACTGATATTAAGTATCTTGAAAAGTCAATTTAGCACCAGCTGTTGTATATTTGTTCTGAACTGTACGTGTTGTCTCAGCGTCACGATGCTTTAGCTATCAATGTTTGGCTCTGATGTGATGTAACATCTGCTTCAGAGATAGAATTATTTATTTATTTAGCCATAGCCAATTACAAAATGGATAAACATGAAAATATAAACAAATGCATGTAGTGGATGTATGCAGGGAAAGCTAAAACCATGCAAAAAAACCTCAAAATATATCTAAAACCCTATTAACTGAATTATAATTACGCCACATTATTTAGATAGGGGGAAACTTAAGTATGTCAGTCCTAGACCTGGCTAAGTAAAAAGTTAAACTAGTTCGTAACGCTAATCTAGGAATTAAGAAGTTGTTGTTCTAAGATCCCACTGGAGTCAATAATGCCATGGATGAGCTTGTGAGTGAACTTAAGTGAATTCTTTTTGCGTCTGCTCTCTAAATTATAGATTTTGTGTCTCACCATCAACTCACTATGAGGAAATCCAATAGCAGGATATATCCCGTCAGCTTTGTATGAGAGGTATTTTAAAAACTTTCTTTGGACTGACTCTAAGCGGTCAATATATATTTGATGATGAGGATACCATACAAGCCACGCATACTCAAGCTTAGATCTTACATAAGCATAGTACAGTATTTTTAGTGTAAAGGAGTTGTGGAAATCGCCAGTATTTCTGACAATAAAACCATACGCCTTTGATGCAGCCATAATAGCATTTTCGATGTGATGGGAGAAGGAAAGTTTTCTGTCAAATGTGACTCCCAAGTCATTAATTGTATTACTTCCGTGAAGTTTCCTGTCACCACTATATTCATACATCATTACCCCTGTTTCTAAAGTAAACGACAAAACGTGACGCTTAGCAGCATTCAAAACCAGTCTGATTTCACGACACCAGTTGTCAGCCCTTACAATGTTGCATTGCAAGCGATGACAATCGTCAATGTTAGAGACTCTACAGAAAAGTTTCATATCGTCAGCATATAGTACGTAGTCATGCCATAAGTTCTGTCCCTCGTTTTCAAACAAGTGTAGACCTGTTAATACTTGTCCGATTGTTTACATTGTGGTGTCAGTTGATTAAGCGCTTTTCGGGTAATTACATATACCTCAGTTTGTATTGATCTCTCGAAGCATAACGATGGAGTGGGGCAAGGCACAGAACCGTATTGCAGTGATAGCTTTACATAAGTGTAATCACAGTGCTAGTCAGATTTTTGAACTCTTACGCGGCCTTCAAATATCGCGTAAATTTGTGTCTAGGACCATTCAGCGGTACAATGAGACGTCCTCTGTTGATGACAGGCCAAGAAGCGGAAGATCTCGTCAAGTAAGGACTCCAGCAGCCATCAAAGCCGTAAAAGCCAGGATTCAAAGGAATCCACTCCGGAAGCAGAAGATCCTATCCAGGGAAATGAAGATTCCTGTCCGGACGATGTCGCGCATCATTAAACAAGACCTAGGGCTAGGGGCTTAGCGGAGACGTACGGGCCAGCGACTTACGGCCACCTTGCGACACATCAGGGCGACAAGATCCAAGAAGCTCTTGGAGAGGTACGCAGCTGGGGGATTCCGAAAGATTTTGTTCACGGATGAGAAAATCTTCACCATAGAAGAAAAATTCAACCGACAAAATGACAAAGTGTATGCAAGGAGTTCACAGGAAGCTTCGGAGATCATTCCGAGAGTTGAGAGAGGCCACCACCCTGCGTCAGTCATGGTTTGGTGGGGGGTGTCCTACGAAGGGGTCACTCAGCTCCATTTCTGTAAACAGGGCGTGAAAACAAAAGCGGCAAACTATCAGAGCGACATACTGGATCCTATCGTCAAGCCTTTAAGTGGTACATTGTTTGCCAACCAACACTGGGTCTACCATCAGGATTCCGCCCCCGCTCACAAGGCTAAGAGTACGCAGCGCTGGCTGGAAAGCAATGTGCCAGAGTTCATTGTTGCGGAAGATTGGCCCTCAGGGAGTCCGGACCTCAATCCTTTAGACTACAAGTTGTGGGACCTGCTAGAGCAGTTGGCCTGCTCCAAAGCCCACCGTAATATCGAGTCCCTGAAAGCGGATTTGATCCGATCAGCGGCAGCTATTCCTTTGGAAGCTGTGCGTGCAGTGATAGATGAGTGGCCCGCGAGATTGAAGCAGTGTGTGAAGGCCAAGGGGGGACATTTTGAATAAAACTGTTTGATTATGAATTCTAAAAATGTTGTCGAATAAATAATATCTTTCATATAAATATATCTTATCTTGTTTCATTTTTATCATGAGATTATCATGGGACAGAACTTATGGCACGACACGTATATAAGAAAATCGACATCGATAGAGGTCCCAGATCCTTGAGGAACATCGGACATTACAGGGTATTCGCTTGACTTATGTCCATTGCACATAACATACTGTTTCCTATGAAATAAATATGATCTGAAAATTAGCAACAATGCATCTAAAATGCAAAACTAGATAACTTATTGGGGAGGATGTTATGGTCTAAACTATCAAACGCTTTAGAGAAATCAGTATATACGTATATTACATCCGTTTGAAGTTGTCTATCGATTGATTCACAAACATATTCAGTAAGATGTAGCAAGTTAGTAACTGTGGACATGCCCTTCATGAAACCATGTTGACTGACGGAGATAGACCTGCTTACAGTTTGTATCACTATTTCGAATGTTTTAGCGAAATTACTGATAATTGTGATAGCCCGATAGTTTTCCACATGATTCCTCTCAGCTTTTTTAAAAACAGGAGTTACCCTAGACAACTTCCAAATAGATGCAAAGTGATTATTTTTCAGAGCGGGATTGAAAATGATCGTGAGTGGATATGCTAAAATGGATGCACAATCTCTCACAAAAAATGCAGGTATTTGATCAGGCATTTTTGGCTTAATTATCTTGAGCGCCTGTAGCACATCGATTTCCAGTACACTAGGCATAGCTAGTGTAGTAGTGAAATGGTAGTGAGTAGAAAAATCAGATTGAGCTGTTTGAGTATTATAGCTCCCATTAAAGTGTTCCGCAAATGCGCCACCTATATCATTAACAAAAGACAAGAATTTGCCGGAGCTGTTGGATATTTCACACTCTAAAGAGTGAATGTAGCGACGATATGAAACAGCTACATGTTGCTTTATCGCTGAACGAAGTCTTATAAATTTTTCTATATAATAAGTATCACCAGTGCGTCTGAAAGTCTAAGGAGGTCTAAGCTATAAGTTGTATACTATAGCTCCAAGGAAAGGGCAGTGCATAGGTGCATAGTGAGGACTGGTAAGCTAGTAATGTGTGTTGATGATAATTCTGTTAGCTTCTTGTCTCGAATACACTAACTTGAGGTTAAAAGCAAGAAATTGGCTGCGCATCCACTTTTTCTCATTCATTCTGGAAATTACATCTGCATATTTGCTGCATTCCAAAAACGAGAGAATTAAGGAAATAAATCAAGTATATTACAAGTAACAGCTGAGAAAATATGTTACAGACAGGAATATTTATGAAATGTTAAAGAATCATTACATTATTGGCCCGAGTAAAGATAATATGGCCACACAGGACAACTGTTAAAATATACTCTACTAGGCTCTACAAGTCTATTCGTAGCGAAATTTTACCCGAAATCGTTCCACAACACTTAAAAAATGCAAATGAAAATTGGAAAATTGACGCCTTGACGTTCGAAATGGCTCCGTCAATACCCCAGGCTAGACATAACTTTTGGCAGCTGACCTTGTTATTCTTGTTATCTGGATTGCAATGTTGGCAGCTCATCGGATGTTTTTGCTACGTTCGCTATTTTATTAGAATGTTATAAGAAAAAGACGATTTGAATAAAATATTGAGGAATTCCAATGGAGAAACATAACATTCAAAGCGTTATGTTTGCCAAATAGCTAACTGTGATTTCTATAAAATATTCTCATTGTACGTGCAAGAAGAAACAAAACGAGACTGATGGTGTTTGTGTTTTATGAAAATTTGTATTTTTACGAATTGCTATCAAATTTCTAATCATTCATATCTTGTGTCCACGATTTGCACACAAACATAAAACAATTATTTATATTGTAGATTTCCATGTGTTTAGATAGTGTGTGTCTAGGTATTTCGGGGTAACATCAAGAGTAGTATAGTATTTTGATATTCAAATTACAGTAAAGTAGGTACTATGCATAATAATAAAAATAATGCATTTAACAAAGAACTTAACTTTTTTAGGATGAATATGGTAGAACAACTAAAAAAATATATAACCTGTAATAAATTTGTACAAAAATATATTCACTGATCACGGATTTTATACACATGCAGACAAATACTCATAATCATCCAGATGCGATCTTGCTACTCAACCAATTTTTTTTCTTTCACATCTCCTCACAGTTAAACACTATACACTACTCGGCTTTACAAAAATAACAATCATCATGATGATTACGAGGTTCTCTCCAAATCATGGCTGTCTTGAATTACCAATAGGTTTTGACAACATGCACAGTGACCCTAAATGCTGGCAGTATGTAAAAATTCATAAACTAGAACTGCTACATTAATGTGATTTTTGAAATGAGCACTCCAAAAAACATCAAATGTGATAATATCTTGAATAAAGTAAATATTTGTTGGAAAGTATATAATTCAAAGTCAATGTTTTGTCATTACTTTCAGGTTATGAAAGGAGCATATTCATACTCAGCTATGTTTAGATCTGTTGGTTGAAGAAGAATATAATTTATGGCAAATGGGATACTGATATATTAATTTGAAATAAATTTATACAATACGTTATATTTGTTTCCTTTCGCTCACTACAATATTAATATTATAGTTGCAAATGAAGCCATTATCATATTTTTGAAAACATTGCAGGTAGAGGTGAGAACTGTCTGCTTTCATTCTTTGCAGTCTTTATGTTGTACCTATTACGGTGGTGATCATCCCTAATAAAGATAGACGAGCACCGTAAGCGGTGGGCATAAACGAATGCCATTCACAGGAAACACTTGATATCTATATACTTTACGTTGGTCTAAACCTAGACAACAGGTTCTCAAACTCAACATTTCATCTGCTGCCTAGTTTGAGAATCAATAGTTATATTTTTGCGCCCCCCGAAATTGTTCAAGTTGTTCGTCTCGGGGGGCGGGGGGGGGGGCGATTGAAGGGCGTCCATTGCATCACTCCCCGCAATTTTCTCTAGCCTCATCATCATCCACTACTTTGAGAGCTCTGGTCTAAAAAATGTCAAGAATATTAAGCTTATTCTTTATACTTAGAATAAATTGATGACAAATTTGGGAGGATTTTCGAAGCTCATTAACTTATAATTCGTTTCTAAGAAGTGCCCTGTATATCTCATCTATCATATCTACAATAAATCCCTTACAACCACAACTCTTAATAATTAATTGTGGTACCATTGTATCAAAATTATATTTGCTAGCACCACTTCAAAGAAAGAATTAGCTTTGCACATGGCTTTTAATTATCATATGAATACGGGTATCTTCACACAAAACTGGAACTAAAGGATCGATAATGAAACATAATTGCTATTATTGTCTGGTCAGTGGCAGGATGTAGTATTTTCTTCACAACTGTAAGAGCTCGACCTGTACGTGAGGTCTAGCTTATCCTAAAACTAATGAAAGCTCTAATAGCAAGTTACAAATAAAAATATATAGGGTGCTTGTTAGGATGTTTCATTTCATAGGACAAAAAATGAATTGTAAAACTTTGACAGACTTTGCTCGCCTACAGAATCTAAGTAATTTAAAACATATGTACATAAAACTAGAGAAGATTAGATTATATTAAGAGGTTTCATAAAAATAGGAAAAAATATTATATTCTCAATATTTATGATATTTATTGGGAAACCAGGAATCACAAACTTTAAATAGTATGTCTAATAGGCATTACATTTATGTAAAAAAATTATATTAATCCATTCTATATGATGAAATTCCTTCTTTTATTCGCTTGGGTACAGCTTTTCTATGATGGCCAACTACCCTCAAGAGCAATTGTTTCTGTTGCTCGTCTCTGACTGATCCATTTAACTTTTTGATTAATGCTATTCTTATTTCTTCATTATTATAGACCACCTTAAGTCCATTCACTTCACTTCTTACGAAGTCGTTGCAGTAGTCTCTCACGTCATAAGCTCCAAACAATTCGAAGAACGTCATTGTCTTTTGGTAACGAAATCGCTGACATTTTTTCCTTCAAAAACTAGGTTTTTGCCCTCTAATCGTTTCAGATCCTATATTTTTGGCGGGTTTGGTTTCCAAATTTTCAATCAAAATTTTTCTAACTTCTTCGGTAATTCGTTCATCAAAAAAGTCAATCCAACATTTGTCTCTGACAGATACCAAAGGTGTCTTCTGGCAACTGCGACAGCACTTTCTTTGACGTTTTCATCTGGGTAAGTGTTCAGAAGCTGTAGCAAATCGAGATCATTCTTTGCTGCCTATCGACTCACAGTGGCCTCATGCCAAAAGCGAACATATACGACTATGAGACTGACAAAATCAGCTGTCATTCCTTTCAATTCTCGGTGACACATATTCAATTGCTCAGCGAAGAGGACTATTTCAAGTGCATAGATTTTTTTTACAATCCATCTTGCTTGATGCAAAGCACCTGGTATCATGAAAGGGAAATCGTTTTGAGTCCAACCTCCTAAGTAAAGTAGTGACAGTAGAGCAATAACTCCTTGTAGTCCTCTCTTGGATAACTTCCACCTTTTAGGACATTTTGAATGTAGTTTACCATCATCGCGCATCGTTCCTCTAGAAATCCTTGAACATGAGTGTGCTCACCTAACATTGTTGTATATGAATTCTTATTAAGTGTAGCCCACATACTTTGTTTGATAGTAAACTACAACATTTCTCAAACACTCCCTTGAGTATTAATCAATGGGTATGATGACGGCAAGCCAACCATAATAATATTCGCCCAAATTTCTTTTCTATTCTGGTACATGCCCCTTGGAGCAGTCCTGTATTTTATGCAGTAGTATCAATAGACATACCAATGATATTGTCGCGTAGCCCAAATCTGTCCACTTCCCAGATCACAACTTCGGCCACTAGTGCCATTCATAGCAGCAGGCAATTTTCAAAGATTTTGCCAGTCACTAGAACCGTCACTTTATCTTCCAGAGTTTTGATGTTTTCATGGGCGACTGAAGGCACTAGCTTACTATCAAGACTAAACGAGGAGGATTTTTAAAAATAGACTCTTCAATGTTCTTCTCTTTCTCAGCTCGGTAAACGGTAGCTGGAGATATAGACATTTGGGAAACGCCGCATCCAATGCTTTTTGCAGTAGCTATGAATGAAGCACTTGCTTGTCGAATGAAGAGCTATTCTCGATCCCAGGTAGAAGTAAGTATTTCAACAAGTTTTATTTTAGGTGTTGAGTGTGTTTTTTTTATCAGGAAGTAAAATTTTGACTTCTTCATCACTAGGTGCTGACGATGATGATTCAGATAAGTCTTCCAAATGTAATTACTTCACTGTTTTGCGCGATACCTTTGTAGTGTTTGCTCTTATATGACCTAAATTGATTTTTTTTGTACATTTGTCTGCTCCACCCAATGACTAACTCATACGGTTTTCTCTTTGCGACTTAAGAAAAATCTTCTTGTAAGACGTTAGTCATTTTGTCGAGAAACGTCAAATAATTCAACGAGATATCTTTCCAAATTTGTCGATTCATATTTGATCTATTTGTATTTCTGGATTTGTCTTTGTACAACTTTCGTATACCGGCACGTATGTTCTCTTACATTTTAACAGGAATATTTGCTTTACCCACTCTTTTTGTAATTTAGCACTGGTAGATTTGGCAACATCTGACAGAGTTTCTTTCGTTTTCTTGTGATGATAAATAAAAATTAAAAGTACTTGCCTTCTTGAAGGAAGACGAGCTTCTAAAGACTCATCACTGGGCACTTTTTCTAGCAGTCAAGTACCTCTCTTAGTACCCATTATAGTTTAATTATTAACCTGCAAAAAACAAGGAAGCGTACATAAGGATTTACCTCAGTATTAGTGTGGGACGGGGGTTTGGTGTATGACATCACCGTTTGTTGAATTGAATACCGCGTCATATGCCGTCGTGTAACTCGCGTCATGGTCACGTCGTCGGGAAGCTCGACCCGAGTTCAACTTATAGACCGCCGCCTCCAGAAAATTCTGGAAATGCGGCGTTACCGGTGCAAACAATACAACGTGCATCGTCTATTTTTTGAGGATTCACAGGTTCCTGAATTAGAAATGTTTCGAGTTTGAAATAGTAGTGGCCAGTGTGCGCAACCTCTAAATATTGTCCAATCTTACTGAAATTTGTACACATATATTTTGTACCACTGAGACACAGGGGCCAAGCAAAGTCATGATGTGAAAATCACAACTTCGGTAAAATGAAACACCCTAGTGCTTGTGTTACTCAGATCTTATGCACAAAAGCTGTTGTGAATTTTCAATAATCAGTTTTTTAGGTTTAGTGCTACAATCTGTAAGAACACAGTTCATCCGTGTCGGATTTATGTTTTCTAAATGTGTAACCTTACTTTGCTGCACGCGGAACACCATAAGAGGCTTCTTAATTTTTGTTCTTCTCCCAGCCATGTAATAAGCTGACAGAGCCTCTGAAGTAGCTTTGTTAACTTTCTTGAGATCGAAGCGGATCAGTCGCTATTGAAAAAATATTACAAGCTATACAAATATGCCATGCTATCTCTCAGGGTATAAACACTGTTTCAGAATGCTCTTTATCTACGCAAAGTGTCAAAATTAAAACCTCGAAGGTACTGATTCTTCAAGAGGTGAGACCAACTATTCTAGGGCCTTAAGGACCAGTGGATACGAAGCTATCCATTGCCAAGTCCCGTGCCCTTGAAATTGCAAGAGAGGCCCAGGCAAAATAATTTCCTTAGAGATAAATTGTTCAACATAGATACTCAACATGTTAGGTAAACTTTAGAAATTTTGTCCTTACATCGATTTAGACAATAACCACTAAAAACTGAAAAATAGTTTACAGCCTACTCTATTACAGCTCTTGAAACATGCACTGCATTTTGAAAAGTCACTAATTTTGAGCAGCAATGTTTGGACACTATGTGCATGACAAGGAGAACAACCAAATTGAATGCGGTAAAGCAGAAAGTTGAATCTTCTCCACTTGCTATCAAAGCTTTTCGCTAAAAATAAACCAACCAATTTAAGTATTATACCTAGTCCAATGGAGAAGCTGTAACAGTTATTGTCAATAGCCAAACAAGCTACTTTGAGAGTTCCAGGAAAGAGGCATACGTAAATTAATTTGGTTGTAGTAGCGAAAAGACTCGAAGGTAATAAAAATCAATCCGTAAATCTAACTCCGTCGTACTCGATAGATGGTAAACGTTGCAAAATACGATCAGGTTTAAAAGATGGACATGATTATTTATTATAATAGATGCAGATGATGGCAATCCTCATGACTACCGAGGCTGACATCCAACAGTAAACCACAGGCTGCAGCCTTAATTTTCAGATAACAATAGCTTCAGTTTTTAAATGTCCTGTTAGAAGCAGTTTAGAGCGTTTTTAGATAAATTGGCACGATGTTAGCTATAAATCGGAAGTCTGAGTAAGGTTCTAAACCTCAATTTTGGTGTAAAATGTTAGAAAACAGTCCCGACGTGACGCGCTCTGTCGCTCGAAAGTCCTTCAATTTTCCACTATGAAGATACTCGTGCGCCACTGTATCTGCTGCCTCTATATAACCGCAATTACTATCACAACATTTTCACACCACTCGAAACAATGCTCACCAAACGATCTGAAAATTTATTCAAATACTTTGACTATATATCTGCATTAAACGGTGTACCTTTTACTTCGCACAATACCTCTGCTGTTAAAAAATCCATCATAACATTATGGGGTATTGTTTTGTTCACTTTTTGCATTTTCTTCTATTGCTTGGTGTCTATGATGATGAAGAATAACATGAAAGACCTGAGCGTCTTTTTCCAGCAGCTTGGAGTATTGGTATCTGCATTGGTCGATATATTCAAGATTTTGGTGATTCCGAGAAAATGGAGAAAGTTATTGAGCGTTAGGATACGATTACAAAGCGACGAATTCAGATATAAACCTTCTGGTAAGATATTTTCCTTCCACACTCGTGATCCAACATGCCTAGTTTGCGTGTACGCTTTACATGTATCATATTTAAAATTAAGGTGAATGTGCGTCATAGTTGTTTGTTTATAAATTTTGGCGAAAGTGCACTCTTGATTCAAAGCAAGTATTCGAGGTTGAGTATGAATAATAGTATGTTTACTAAACTGCTTTGAAGCTGTAATAAAGTCAACTATGATCCATTTCTAGAACCGTAAGAAGAATGTAAGCACCTGTAATTATATAAAAGCTGTTGCAAACGTTACACTATCCAAAATTGTACTCCTTTTGTCAGCGATGTTTAGGTTACAGAAAACATGCACCAGATGTGTTTATGTAAATTAGACATACTATAATACAAAAAAAATATACGAAAGTTTTTACAAACCTACTGAGAATAATAAGCGTTCTTAAATAAATTAATAAAAAGGTTATAGGAAAAAACATTAAATATGGATCGCTTTCAAATTGCTTATTACTACTTCAAGAACAAACGGATTTCAGTGGAACTCTCTAACAACATAATCTTTATGGAGTAAAACATTAACATACGTTCAAATTTTGAAAATATGATACAGCGGGTTAGAAAATGTAATTTTTGGCAAAAATATTTTTCTGGAATAAAATTACATTTGTTAGGTCGAATTATTTGATACATTCACAAATTTTTTCCGTATCTATAAGTACTTCGTAATGCGCGAATTAACTGGATTCTATAATACGACTCTTAAGGAATATTTTACGACCTGAATGATTTCTGTAAGTATTCTGACGAAGTTTGTGATATTTTCAATCTTTGAAAGCATTCTAGTGATTCACTGTCCGAGGACCATATTTTCATAGTTTCATTGAAATCCGCTTGTTCTTGAAGTGGATATAAGTAATTTGAAAATGATTTATTTTTGCAGTTTTTTGTGATAGCTTTTTTACTAATTTATTGATTGACCTTGAATTGCATTTTAGTGCAATTTTTAATGACTTTTCCATATAGTCGCGTCCACCCTTCAGTTTTGGCACCTGCAAACTTAATTTGCTCGAAGTAATTTATGTGGCTTCTTTCGGTGTATCCCAAGGGCTGAATTAACGTTTTTCTCATATTCGTTAGATACCAAAGAAGAGTTTTTAGTTACTAGATATGCGAATAATTTGTTCTAGGGGATTTTCAACCAGACAAACTAATGTCGAATTCACAAATGTTTTGCAAACGACTCACTATTTTGATGCTCTCCTACTACATGATAGGCATATTAACGCATCACTCTGCATTAGCCAGGCTTAACGCAGAACAACCAGATGCTTATTTTCAGGTACATTTGTTATAACTCCACCTTGTCGAATAATTATGATATTTGGAGAGATATTTAATTGCATATGACGCTCTGGTCTGGGCCAGTGAGCTTTATAAGATTAGTAGGCAGAATTTGAAAAGCTTGCTGACACCAAATATTAATACATTTTTAATTATATTTGTCAATGCTATAAAGCATGGAAGGACACCAGGATTTTCGGGTCGCTAAATGAAACCATATAATAATAATAATACGCACAACTCCATTGGAATAACTGCAGAGAGTACAATGTAGATGTAGATGATAAATGGTACCATCCTATACCGGACCCTGTAATAGATACTCCCGATTTTACCATAATGTGAGACATGCAGGTACAAATAGACACAGCAATCAAAGCATACCGGACGTAATTCTGGAAGGTAAGGTACAAAAGTTGTGCCTAATAATAGATGTTGCCATCCCATCAGATTCGCCATCACACAGAAGGAACCCGAAAAATGTCTGAAATATAAACATCTCCAGATCGAGCTCCAAAGTCCATAATTGGAGCAACAGGGCTAATTTCCAAAGCCACCACAAAAGCAATGAAATCCGTCCCAGGGCAGCAGAGTGCCAGTGCTGCACATATAATACGTAAAGTGTTATGTTCACTTTTCAGCCTGGGTGCACCCTTGGTGTACGGTGTTTACCCGGTGTATCCAATTGGTAGCATAGCCATAGGTAGAGCTATGCGATAAAACGAATATAGGTGTAATTATAATAATAAATTGACTTTATTCGATTCTTTTACATAATATGTTCAACATTCAGTAATAGGCATTGATAAGTGACTCCAATTTTGAGAATCTAATCGGTGGAGTGTTACCATGACCGCATTTTTCAACTCAATGTTTGAGTTAGTTTTTTACCAACGTTTTCGGGCAGCACGGTGGTCTTTCTTCAAATTACCGGCCGAAACGTTGGTAAAAAAGTAATTCAAACATACAGGGTTATCCAAATTAAGTGTCCACCATTAGTAACTTTGTTATTAGTGAAAATACAAAGTTGTTTGAATTAGCAAACTAGTAGCATTTTTAAAGCTGGTAAAAATGAGAAATAAAATTAAACAATTGAGAGTCGTTATTTTGATTTTTTTCAGTAAAATAACATTTTTTTAAATGGAAACCCCTGTATATTATATTTTTTTCTGTTAAAGCATCAAATTTTAAACAAAAAAGCTTACAATAACTTTTCTCCTAGGTTACAAATTGTTGAAGTTATGGCCTCCAATCTGAAACAATTAAATTGTATCGACAAACTTTATTTTCAACATCAACTTATAATCTTACAAAATACAATAACAATTTTTTTTAAAGAAGATGCTCGAAAACACCACCTTGTTCTTCAATACATTTTTGGGCACGTTTTTCAACTGCTCGAACTGTCTTAAGTATGGTCCTACCATCTATCTGGGTTATCTTTTCCCTAACTGCAGTCTTTAACGCGTCAAGGTTATCGTACCTTCGCTTGTAAATTTGGTTCTTTAAGTAACCCCACAAGAAGTAATCAAGTGGGTTTAGATCTGGTGATCTGGGAGGCCACTGTATTGGGCCATTTGTTCCTATCCACTGATCATTAAAAGTAGTACTTAGAAAATGATAAGTACCTCTGGAGTTGTGGGCAGGTGCGCCATCTTGCTGAAAATGCAGATGATGTCTACTTATAAGATCCAATTCGTCTAAGAAATTAGTCAGAATTTCTGACATAAATTCCACATATCTTTCACCAGTTAGGGTTCCCTCATAAAAGAACGGGACAACAATTTTTGAACCAATTATACCGCACCAAACGTTGAAACTGAAACGGACTTGTGGGCCTCTTGGATGTACTAACAAAAGATTTTCTCTTGACCAATAATGGTGGTTTTTTCTATTAAACATTCCAGAATTTGAAAAATTTAATTCATCTGTCCATAAAAGGTAACGAAAGTTATTTACATTTTGGCGACAGAAGCTAAGATACCAATGGCAAAAAACAAGTCTTCTCTCTGGATCCCCTGCCAAAAGCGTTTGAACTGGTCGGTACTTATACGGAATAAATTTGTATTTTTTTAAAATCCTTTGAACAGTACCATAACTGAAATTAGAGTCCTTGAGAATATCTGCTATTGAATTCTCACGATAAGCTTCAAAATATCCAATAACTGCAATTTCCGTGGTCTCGCTTATTATGAATTCTTTTTTTGCCCTTGTTTTAGCAAAAACATTTTCGTTGCCTCTAAATTTTCGATAAAGTCTCAGAAAATATCGTTCATACGGTTGAATGCGAGCGGGATATAATTCACTTGCTCTCAAGGAGGATTTTCTGCACACTAAATAGCATTCTAACATATCACACTTTTCTTCATGGGAGAACATTTTTCTTTAAATTAATGGCACAATAAAGCTTATAAACAAGTATTTACACTAATGTTTGACATTATTTGATTTTATCATTGTTTTCCAAAGCCTTCTAGTTGCGAGTATGTCCAGTTTAACAATTTGTCGCTTATCTTAATGCTGTCAAATCGCGAACGCCATGTTGTTTTCATAGCCGTCTTAATATTATAATACTGCAAATAATTAAAAATATTTATCGTTATTTTGACTTTATTTTTGACTTTAGCGTAAAAGTCATTATGAACTTTTTTGTTTAAAATTTGATGCTTTAACAGAAAAAAATATAATATACAGGGGTTTCCATTTAAAAAAATGTTATTTTACTGAAAAAAATCAAAATAACGACTCTCAATTGTTTTTTTTTATTTCTCATTTTTACCAGCGTTAAAAATGCTACTAGTTTGCTAATTCAAACAACTTTGTATTTTCACTAATAACAAAGTTACTAATGGTGGACACTTAATTTGGATAACCCTGTATATGGTTTCCTTTAGCGGCCAGACAATAATGGAGTCATGTCGTCATGAAAACCACTGGATAAGTTTCAGGTGTTACGCGATGGAGGTTGATTTAATAGTTTTCAGAATTATAAATTGTTATATTAGTAGTGATATTGCAAGTATCATCTAGTAGATGTAGAGTACAGAAACCTTCTCCGACTAAATTTTAACGAATAAAAATTTATAATCCTAGGAAAATTCTACGTGCTACGATTATGTACCGTACTTCTACCACATTCCTTTCGACACGAGTACTATTCGAAGATGTAAATATGCATTAATAGGCATGGACATTGGCATAAGTATTTATATTGGATATACTATGGGTGAGTAAAAACTGTCCTAGTCTAGACCTTAGTGTAACTTTCTGAAAGTTACGTTCATCTCTTTGCCCTTTTCATACTTTTTGGAGGCCCTCCAGAACTGATGAAGATCATAGTCAAGGTCATGAGCTAATACATACTTGAACGAAAAATTTTCCGCATTTTACATTTCCAGTTTCAAAGATAGGGATTTTTATTTAAGAAAACTATCTTGACATTCACCATTAGATAACCCTTTTGAAACCTTATAACTTTGTTCTACATTATTTATCTCAAGGAAACGTATTTCTTCAGATGTTTTGATGTGTCCGTACTTTTGGATACCCTGTATATGGAAACAGAAGTTACTCTCAAAACCTGTAAATTATCACATAGCTATGTTACTTCTAGGGCCTTACGCGGAATATTACACGATTTAATTTCTGCTTGAAATTCAAAATTTCCCTAACCCCAGATTGCTTATTTGACCAATCGACGGTGTATCTGACATGGATGCCAGTTATTTAGGCCTTTAAGGCTAGGCTGCCTAGATGTATATTAGAAGAATAAAATCTTTAGTTGCTACATCAGATCTTATGCTCATAGAATACTCCAACCATCATCTTTAAAAGTATTCCGTAAGACCTTTAAATTCCTGAGTATCCACTCAACATAAGATCGAAGCCCAAATTATTATTAATATGTTTTACCACAATGTAAACTGAATTGTTTAAATACTTAAAAGTCTATAATATTTTACTCTTTTGAAAAAAGTTTCTAATAACGGCTTTAGGATATCAATAAATGAATTTGTTGATGACCTCGAATATGAAATAGACAATGACCTAAGAGGTCATTTGAAGGTCAGGTTTGCAAATTCAAATAGTAGCCACTGTTTTTGACAACGGTATTCATATGTATCCTGATGTGAAATCTCGGACTCATAAGTGGTTGGTTGCTATTTGAATAACAAACTTGACCTCCAAAGAACATCTGAGGTCAATTTGAGTTCATCGAAAACTTTCTTAAAAAAAAAAGGATGGTTGTCATTTTTATTATGGTCTCCTACTCTTCAGACCTTAAAGTAGGTCATACAGGTTGGGCCACATATGACCACGTTAAAATCCAGTGTGAAGCTCAAGATGTACATGAACTTAAGGTCAAAAATGGTACATTCTATTTGAATTAACAAACTACCCCTGCAAATAAACTTTTGTGGAAAGATTTCATAAAAAAAAATTCGTGATTGTCTAGTATTCAGGATGTTCAAATATTTAGTAACTTAAATGTTTGTTGATATGTTTACTGTACCCTATTGCCGTTTAATAAGATCATGAATTTGTTATTCTGTATTACAGTCTACGATAACTTATTCTTCTACTTGCTCATCTACTTGCAAACTTACATACAAATTTTAAACGAAGCAACCAAGTCTGTAAGGCAAAGAACCTTAACAAATCTGAACCTGCCAGCCGAGTATAAGATTTTCAAAGACGATGAAAATCCTGCATTGGAGGAAGCTGCATATTATGAAATAAAAAAATGTTGCCGGCATCTACGGTTTTTATTAAGGTAATCCCAAATAACCCAACTCCTATCAACCTCAATCTAAGGAAAGGTGGTATTAACGCTTTATGTTGGAAATATCAAAGAAACTTCGGAAACAGCGGAATTCCTTGAAACGAAGCTTTCATCATAGGTTAATCTATGCAAATACATACACATACACATAAAGTGACAAGCTTAGACGATTGTGTTCAAGTAGATGGAATTCTAACGATTGCCATTATCATTATGATGGAAATTAGCTTGGCAACATCATTGGTAGGTTCCATGGACTTGTTTACTTTCCATTTTGTCTGTCGCCACAACTAGACTTAAGACCTATATCATTTTCAGAAGTTCTATGTAAATGAATGTGTAGAGGAATGCAACATCAAGAGAGCAATCATGTTTAACATGTTGTCCGCGATTTTGTAGACAACGCCTGTCTCTTCTGTGTACATTGCTCACTATTCGATTTATTTCTCTTTTTCTAGTCTTTCAAGCTCTGTTACTATGTTCAATTTGACGTCTGGTCTGGTAACGAAACAACTGTCTATCTGATAATTTCAATTCCTATTCTGCAATAACTACGGTTTGGCAATATCCATGTATGACATCTGAAATCAGAATATAAAAGTCTATTTATCTACGTGAACAGAGAAAATAGCGTCTATAAGAGAAAATAAAGTTGATGCTGGTGGACAAGAGACGAAACGTCATAATTATGTAGAGGAAAAAAGGTGCCAATGTTAATGTGGAATTTATTTTAAAATCCCACTACAAATACAGTCAGGAAAAAAAATAGAACGATTCTGGGAAAATTCGTTTTTTCTGATTCTCTCCAAAAGCACTGTGAATTTCTAAACTGTCCAAGCGGTACTTTGTTAGTTACCTGAATACGCAATTTTGCCTCCATTCAAGCGACTTCGTATCACTTACCGTTTCCGAGATCCCAATACTGAGGGTCGAATTTCAAATATTGGGAATAATGTGTAAAAAAACTCACAAACCCTAGAAGTATCTAGGTCTACTATTCTGTAATAATTTATGATCTATAAAAATAACTTCTTATGCAACTATTTAGGAGTATTATACTGAACATTTTTGAAATGCATTCCTACCTTTAGAGTTTTTAAATAGGTATGAAACAAATGATGATAAGAACGTAAATAAATATCAAACAACTATTATATACAGTGTACGGAGCTAACGATATGCAGTAATAGGATATCAACTTGACAACTTGGAGTCCTTGTATCTTGGAAACTATTCGTGGAAAGACTTTGGGCCCACGGACACATTTGTCTCACATGTCGAAATCTATAAAAGATTGAATTAAAAGAACTCGTTTTTTATTTTAGCATACAAGAAGACATAGAGTCAATATTTACTAATATAACCTTGTTACAAATGATTTCATCCCTTATAACACTGGCAACAAATCTATATACCTTGTCGATGACACCACCTTCTGATGCCGATTTCCTGGGCTTGCTGGTTTATACAGTTTTTGGAATTATACAGCTTACAATGATTTGTCATTTTGGATACAGAATAACGGAATCGGTAAGTTGCTCTAGAAAAAAAATGTACATTATACTGAGGCACCTTTTCCATTTGTTTATACGTTAAGCTAAAAGAAAAAGGTAAGGTTCCTTACTGATCCGCTGCCAACACAGTTTCATAATATTCAAATCAAATACCATACCAACAAAATTAAATATAGATGAAGTACAATCAACCAGTGAAAAATTACACTGGTGAACAAAGTTTAATTTGCTGCTTATACTCGTAAAATATTTATAAGCATATGTGTGTAAGATTACTAATAAACTCTCGAATAAACATTAATCTCAGAATGTTTTTGTCGATGCTTTACCACAATATGTTGCTCCTGAAGTATCTCTTAACAATGTCCAGCAATAATCAGCAAGCAAATTGGCACTCCATTTGCCTTGATACCGTTTTTCCGTAGTAGAAATGTCTTAGTGGAACCGTTCACCATGTTCTTCACTTACCGCACCTATATTTTCCGGAAAAAAATTGACATGAGAATCCAAAAAGTGAATTTTTAGAGACATGTTACATCCCATTCCTTTATAAGCATTAAATAGTTCACTCACAATATCTTTATAATTCACATTACCTTAAAAATGTGCAGTCACTGATTTCAAAAGTATTCCAACCTCGTAATTCAGTTTCATTTAGAGCACTGTCAAATACATCATCCTTCATCATTTTCCGTATTTGTGGACCCACAAATATGCCCTCTTTAATTTTTGCCTCACTAAGTCTCGGAAATGTTTGTTTTAAATGCAGAAACCCTCTTCCATTTCGATCCAAAGCTTTCACAACATTTTTCATCAGTCCCAACTTACAATGCAAAGGTGGAAGCAACACATTTTTGGGATCAACCAGTCCCATTCACAAAGAAAACAACACTATTTGGTATATCCCAGTTCTGTTACAGTATATCCATTATAACGGATATCCTTTAACAGAACTCGTATATTTTCATATGATTCCTTCATCTAAACTGCGTGCGCTATAGGTACAGATGGATATTTGTTACCGTTGTGTACCAATACCGCTTTTAAACTAGGCTTAGGGGAATCAATGAACAGGCGCCAATCACTTGGATCATGTTTCTGTCTTAACGCGTCAAACAAATTGTTGACATCGGAGCAATATATCAACTCCCTTTTTTTTGACGGAAACAGTGTGTGAGGTCTTGTTGCCGTTTTCGGTAAAAAATAATGTTAACATCACCATAGAGAAGATTCTACCCTTTCAATCTTGACGCTAAAAGTTCTGACTGGGATTTTGACAGATTTAAATCTCGAACTAAGTCATTAAGTTCGCCGTGTGTGGTAAAATGCGGCGCTATTGACCATCCTGGCAGGTCAAACGAAGGATAGGAAATTCTTACGCTTTCTGTACCATCACTTTCAGAATCGGTGGATTCGACTTTTTCATCCAAAGACCAAGATTCTGATGGAACTAGGATAGAAAGTTCATCACTATGCTTAACAGGCTGATGGTAAATTAAAATACTTAACAGTATGTTTCGATTTTGGACCAATACTTTTAATATTTGTGAGGCAAAAATAGGAACAGAAGTATGGTCTCTCGGTTCTCTCCAAAACCATTGATACCGCAATGGGCATTTTACGATTGTCACCTCTTGATCAATCTGTTAACAACATTACAAAAGTCTTACAACATATATGAGGGGCCCATAGTGTATCTTCGTCGCCAACATTAATTCCAAAATAAAGTTCGTATGCTTTCAACACAAGGGGAGTTTTTGAGATTTAAAAGTTAGCCCGCCGCACACAAGAAAAACTGTTCGCACTATTCACACAATTTCTAGGCATTGTCCATAAAGCTAGTCACGATCACAATAAACTAAAAACAAGACACAGCTTTAACAAAAATTAACAGTACTCAGAACATCTCGGTACTCTTCAACACAGAAAACGTAACTGACTAGGCTGCTATTAATCTACTAATAAACGCAATAATATGCTCTTTAAGCATAGAGCTCGCATATAATAAACAGGAATAGACAGGTCTTAACATTATATATGTGCGTCATCGCATAAAGAAATGCAGCAATATGAGATGTTACGTATTGTAATTCATAAAAGTACATGTTACCGAATGTCTGTGGGTGATAGAAACATTTTGTTTTTAGATTTGATTTAACGGTCTCAAAATACATAAGATGCCCTCAAAAATTGTCATGTCACAAATCCTGTGTTTATCAGTGTTATCGATTTATCTCTAAAAGCAAAAGAGTTATAGAAAGCTGCACCCCGCAGAAACATGTTCGTTACGTCTCAATGCGACATGTGACGTCAATCCTCGGTACCTAGGGCCGGCTTCAGACGGTAAGAAAGTGAGACAGCTGCCTGGAAGCGCAGTGTCATGGGAGCGCACAATTCTCAGCCAGGGACGGATCCAGGGAGGGGGGTCCCCCACTGGGCGAAACGAGACCGACCACTCAACATCACCCCTCTCTTCGGCTATCATGAAGGCATTAGCTTTTGGAAGCACCCTCGCACCCCACTCTTCGTCAGAAAAGCATTAGCTCTTAGAAGCATTGATGTAGCCGAGTCAGTTCCCAAATCCGTCACTACGGCTAAGTGACTCCCGTGACTCAAAGGCTGGCAATTAATGTGGAGTGATTTTGCATATTTCATTCTATGTCTTAGGATCTGTTGCCTAAGGGCGCACAAAACTTTGACGCCAGCCCTGATAGCGCCGGGCCGTCCTCACATGCATACACGTACAGCGGCAGCACGTGGTAGTGGTGACAAATCGTCCTCTGGCTAGTTTATTTTCTTAATTACCAAGTTACTGCATGGTTATCAAGAGCGAAATTACAAAAATGCACTCAGTCCTTAAAAAGCGGCTTAAATGCAACCCTTGGGCCCGATTTTGGTATTGACCCGCGTGGATCAAAATTTACTCTCGGGGAATAAATTAGAGCAGTCACATGCGTTTTTTGAAGTAATGGATCTAAAACAAATTGGGGAATCAGCGGCCAATTTTCAGGAACCCCTTTCGGTCGACCTCAGACGCCCTTTAAATTAGGCTGGCCCGGACGAACGGCAGCCCTAATATGGTGCAAATCCTAGAGGCGTTGTCAGCAATTGGATAAATGTAAGTCAACACTCTGCACCTCTCGCGCAACACCGTTATCAGTTCATAAAGGATCATGCACAAACTCGACCCTCTGAGAAAAAAGCCAGTCATACAGGTCAATACAATTATTCCATAAACATTCTTTCCCTGCCCTACCGGTAGTGCCTCTGGCAATGTCGCCTCTCCTCGACATTTAATCCGGCCAAACGTGGCAGCGCAGATAGATCATAGCGCGTAATACCATACTAGAACAACAGAATACTCACCAAGGCGTGCGGCACGTTATCGGGAGCAGCAGCTGCGGCCCGTCTGCAATTTTAAGGGCTAATGTACGGAGAAATATATGATGTGTGAAATATAGTATGCCCATTAGGTGCGTAGACTTACCAAGTTTGGGGGCGTGTAAATGTACTAACATCCAAAAATTGTAGTAAATCGTCCCCACCACGCAACCCCCGCCCCAAGTTTTTCTACCGCTAAATGTTTTTCTCAAAATGGATCAGGATCCTCTAAAACGTCAAAAAAGGAAACTGAGCGATTTTTATTCTATTTTAAGTTTGGCCTTTTTTTCAGTCGATACGGGACCGATTTGCAAAAACTACAAAGATTTTGCGTGCTTGGCATAGTAGTACCATTTTGCAAAAATAAAAAATTCATTTCAAATCCGAGCGGTACTTAAGTTATTATAGGTGGTTATAAGGTTAGCGGACAGACCGTCAGACTGACAGATCAACAGACTGACAGACAGATGGAAAGGAGTGATATTGTTTTTCGTGATATACATGTTATATAACATCCAAAAACATAATATCTCATTTTCGAAAATTTTTGCGAATACAATACTTCCACGCTAGTGGGCATGGGGAGTAAAAAGGGAGCAAGATTGCGTTGCCTGTCAGAAAAATGCAGAGTTGAACATTCAGACATGAAGGTGATGTTCAACAAGAGCTAAATCAATTTTTCGCACGTAAAGATAAGACGTTTCATAAGAAAGGATTTGTGCAGCTTTGAATCACCTTGACAAGTAGACATGAACATTATATTATTTAATACAGTTTAGCCAAGAAATGAAACAAAAATTTGTTATAACCCAAAAGAGTCAAAACTTTTCGGAAAACAATATATGTATATATGCCTTTATCAAAGAGTAACCAAACCCCGTTTTCAAGTTTCTCTGATCATTTCTCGAATTCTTATACATATCTGACTTTTTAGGATGAAGTTTTCTAAAATCGTTAATAAGTTGTTGAGAAACAAAATAAAAAACTGATATTTGACGTGTCCTTGGACTTGATATCACAACTAAAAGTTCATCCTTTTCAGTTACTGCCGTTAATTTTTTTGTACTTTTTAAGGACGTTCTTGTCTTTTTGTTTCAGTGTTTCTTATTCCAACGGAGTTTATACGAGTGCGATTGGTTGAGTGGCAGCAAAAGGTTTAAAACTTGCATCTTGCTCATGATGATTAGATTGCAAAAACCAGTACGATTCACCGCTGGCAAGTTTTTTCCTTTGACTCCGAGAACGGTAGTTTCGGTGAGATAACATGTTTCTGATTTGTTTTGAGATCTGGATACTGCACCATGCAGTTTTGGTTATAGTTTTTAGATATTGGTAAATCTGTTCTTAAAGTTTATAGAATTTTTTGTACTACATGACTATATTTTTAACTAGATCGATTTTTATACTCGAACTACCCATGGGGTACCGTGGGCTATAAGGGGATATAGGGGAAAGGGGGGAGGCCACACGGACTCTGGCGAGGGAACACGTGTGCATGCAACATGCCTCGCCTACGACATCCACCGGGTGGTACCTCCACGTTCGACAGTCAGAGACCGTCTACCACCGACGATAACTGCTTTTAAAATCGATGAAATGGTTTACTCCAGATTAGTGATCGAAGACCGATAATGCGGTTTTGACATTATATATTCAGAGTAATAAATAACTTGTATGTTCAATATAGATTTTATCAGAAAACCTTATATTTGACTATAATTAAAGTGCTTTAAACCATTCAATCCATCGCCATGGATTATTATCGTTAAAGTAATGTAATTACACATCAAATAGGAATTTCGACTATGACATGAAAACCTGCTGATAAATATCATATTCGTCATTTAGACGATTCATTAGTTTATTTTGAAGTACTTCCAAAAGAGTTGGAACTTGAAGCTATAACTATACTTTAACGCTTTGATAGGTAATGCTCGTAACGAAAAAGCGAATTCTATGTAAGAAATATGCAAACATTTAAATGTTCTACGACACTTGACTTGATTTTGTCGTACCTTTTTACAGGTTGCTTTCGATTTAAGTTAAACTTATGGCAATGAACTATTAATAATTATCAACATCGGCTTTGAGATATGTGATGTGTTGGATTTGTTGAAAATTGTAGAAAACATTGTAAAATACTTAAAATTATGAAATCTGTGCATTGCCTACTTATTAGTTTATACATTTATTCCAGAACAATCTTTTGTTTGTTTCAGGTTTTAAAAGGATCGTATTCTTACGCTGCAATGTACCGATCGGTCGGGTAGGTCTTCAAAGAACTGATTGCTATTTCTCCACATTTAGCAAATTAGAAAAGAGAAAGAAAAATGGTTTAATGTTGTCACCTAAAGTGTATCATGTGGTTTTCGATGATAGAACTCCATGATATACTGTCCAAATAGAACTACATATGTATGTGAAAATTTTGTTATACTGACGTTTCAACAATGTTTGCGTTTTTCAAAGTGTAAATTAATGACATTAACTGGTTTTCTTTTTTATTTGTCTTCCTGTTTTTTCTTATCTTCGCTACTATACCACAGAGTTGGTAACCCAGAAACTACACTCCGGCAAAATCTCCATAGACATACATAATCGATCGACGCCACAGTGGCTCAGAGAGCACTTTATCCGCAAAAATAGTAACCTAGTATAAATATTACAGTCTCTTTACTTTTTCTGCTAAAATATTTTTTTAAACCCAAAATAACCTATTTGCAACATTTTCTTTTTCCTCACATTATTTCATCACTCATTTATTTAAATTCAAAACAAAAAAATATTTTTTATCAATTTTCATCATGAATTTTGTTAAAATTTAGGCATGCCCTATGACGGAGCTGCAATCACAGAAGGCACTATTAAGTTCAATATAGTTGACGTTTGGAAAAAACTGAATTTGAAAGGAATGATGACAGTTGCTTTGCGCTGTCGTTGCATATTTTTTTTGTAATTCCGTGCAATTTTTTCAGAAGTTTGATACTAATGGGTTCCGATCAAAAAGTGCAGATATTTCCATGTTTTAAAAATTAGTTCAAAATGCGGGAGACACCTCAACACATAAAGAAAAAACTAGCTGCAAATATTTGCACCTTTTGTAGACAAATTTAGTTAGTGACTGACTGAGTGCCAGTAGTTCACGGGACTCCGAACTGTGAACACCTTCTGAAGATGCTAACCACTCGTGTTGGCGAAACGCCAAATAAAAATATTTTACGACGGCCTAACAACCCAAAAACCAACCAAATAACAAATGTGCTCAAATTTTGTAAAGACCTTTTAGAGACGCAATCCTCAATTTTTGACATTTGTCAATTTTTTAATACAATTTTTTTAAGAGAAATTCTTTAGCTTTTCAATGAGGTATAGCTCATGCAACAAAATAAGAAATCTTGGTACCTTTTTCGCGGAAATGGTGCCCTGTGAACCACTGTGCGTCCTCCGTACAGGTTCAGACTTATCGGTTTTTTCCAACAATACATTTTTGATACTGTCGAAAGGTCATATATAGGTAGCAGCTCATAGGGAGGCAACATTATGTCATTAATTTGTATGGATGGCTGTATATAGTCTCTGATAGTCAGAAATAAGGGTATCATTCAGTAGATGGATCGACACGCTACCGGCTTGAGCAAGGTAATTTCTAGAATTCGTATGAGGCACAATGCATCAACAATGTTTACTGATATGTTCTCACTACGCAATCCTATTGACATTCGGCCTGAATAGTGTCAATGTTAAACATAAACATTTTCACAAAAACTCTCCGTGATATATTTTAATAGTCTAATAGCTTATTTGATGACGCCATCAATTTACTTGTTTATAGCTATACAATTGTGCCAAACAACGAAATTTCATATCTTTACAAGAATCATTATGAGCACTGAATAGAAATAAGTGGAACCAAGTGGGTTGCCACAATGTTCCCCACACATTATCAATACTTATACGAGCCTCTCCATTGGGATCTCGGAACCTGAAAGAGATACGAAGTCGCTTCAGTGGGGGCAAAGTTGCGTATTTAGGCAACTAAGAAAATGCCGCTTGAAAAGTTTCGAAATTCAACGTACTTTCGGAGAGAGATGGAAAAGACCGATTTTTTCCAAAATGATTTTAATATTTTCTTGACTTTATCTGCAGTGGGATTTCAAAATAAATTGCACGTTAACATTTTCACTTCTTCTCCTCTACAAGAATGCATAATTAGCATTTCAATATGACGTCCATCATCAATTTTATTTTTTCTTATGGCCGCCATATTGGATTTTTGCACAGATGAATAGACTTTTTAATTCTGATTCCAAACATGTACAGTACGTCACACATTTTAATTTCCAACCGTTAGTTGTTTCAAAAAAGCAAAATTTCCTAGGTAGGCTTTGAAATTATCAGATAGTCACTTGATTAGTATACCAGATTTATCCAACAATCACTTTTATTTTTGTCTGACTTTATTTGAGATGGGATCAAAATAAATTACATGTTGTCGTTGTTATTTATTCTCTTCTACAAGAGTCAAAATTTCAATTCGAAATTTATCCTTTCGACTTCCATCACCAACTTTGTTTTTCATATGAACGCTATATTGGAATTTTGTACACTTAAATGGACTTTTCAGTCAATAAAAATAATAATCATTAATAGATTTACATCTCTTATTCTCAGTCTTCCAAACTCTATTGTATCATTCATATTTTACATTTTTGAAATCAGAATCAAAAACTATTCTGCGCAAAAATCCAATATGGAATCTACAAGGAAAAATAAAGTTAATGCTTCAGGACAAGAGACGAAACGTCATTTTGAACTTCTAATTGTGCCACCTTGTAGAGAAGAAAAAGTGACGATGTTAACAAGCAATTTATTTTGGAATCTCATCTCAAAGATAGTCAGGAAAAAATAAAACAGAATTTTTGATAAATCTGGTAGGTGAAACAAATGACTTATCTGATAATTTCAAGGCCTTCCTAGAACATTCCGTCCTTTTTTTAATTAACTAAAGCTTGCTAACGTCGGAGGATGACGTATTTACATTTTTGGAATCAGAATTAAAAACTCTAATCATCTGCGTATATAGAAATTCTATATGGTCTTATTCAGTCAGTAAACCATGGAGTGCTAAAAACATTTTCATTAAACTTTATGCTTTTTACGTTTATGTATGTAAATAATATGAAAGTTGGTACTGTTAGAAGTGATATAATAAACTGGTGCATTTTCAGATTTGTTATTTATTGCCTTAATCCTGGCTGATTGAAAGGTAGGAAGGTGAAAAGGATCAGCCTGTTTTTGCTGGATTATCCGACTTTCTCGAAACTCGAATACCATGCTTGATCGGATATGGTTTATTAGATTCGTTGTGAAAATGTCGGGTTTCCAAGAGAAGATATAAAAGTTAAAAGTGTGATTCTACGGACTATTCTAGAAATATTTTGTTTTTCGACAATATTCGAAAACCCATAGCTTCTGGGCGAATTTTCTCATGGAACTATTTTTATTAGTAAAAATAGCATGATTAACAGCAATTGTTTTTCGGGGAGATTAGCCAGTTGTAAAACCTCTCAAACAACGTTCCAGTTGTAAGATTTCCCAAACACCATGCTAATTGTAAGCTCTATGTAGAACAGCCATATGTTGAATGTGAACTTACTGGACTGTCATCTCTCTACCATCATTTGATTATTCGACAAACTTGTTGTATGATAGAGTTGGAACACTCCCTATACCTTAGCTGACAGGACCATTTGGTTGTCTGGCCACTAAACGAAAGTATATATGTTTGAATTACTTTTTAATGCTGACGTTTCGGCCACTACGGTGGCCTTGTTATTTGCTATTTTATGGTTATCTGTCTTCCAGGTGACAGTTCATTTGTTTTTCCATTTCTTAGCTACTATATAGTATGTTACGACACCGCTTTCAAAACTTTCCTGTTTTTAAATGATCCCAGTTCGTCAAACGTCCTTCGAGAACACTAAAACCGACCTAGAACTGCAACATACCGGTTGACTGTTATGCAGTATTCGACTACTAATGCTGCATCAGTATTGTTCATGGAGCTGAAATGCGAGAAATAGTACTTCGACACGTCAAGGGAACAATGTTGCTTGTCTTGAAGTATTCTACCTGAAGGAAACCAACAATGTGCTTATTGTACTTCGATGTCCAAAAATTATCAGAGATGAAATGCGATATCCTGGCGCCATCTATGAGCAAACTGAAAAAGATATCAAAAATCTGTCTTCGTGGTAACCTTGATAAGTTGCTAGTGCATATTTTAAAATTATTTCAATATGATACATAATTCTCTAATGTCCCCGGATCAATTCAAAACATTAAAACTCGAGTTAATGAAATTGATGCGTGGATTCCATATTTTAGAGTAAAATTGACATATGAAAATGTCATAAGGCCGCTGGGCGCCATCTTGGGAAAAAAATTATATGAAAACGGGGGTCTTGTGGCACATCATTTTGAAGCTCCTGACGAGTACTTCATAACCCTAGAATATAAAGTCAATACCTTTACCTACTACAAAATGGTGGTATATTTAATAATTACCTGAATACATTGATATTCAACTTGATAATTCGAATAAATACGTACAGGCGATGCCTTCTATTGAGCCTGTTTTGATTTCATATTCATTTACTCATATTGTTCGTTATCTTTGCACATTGAGTGAATAAATATTATATTATTATTATTGAAGTTGAGTAATTTATTTTAACAGTGAGTAGATCTGATCAAAAGAAATGTTTTTCTGGTAAAATTAAAGTAACAAAGTTATAGCCCTTTAGAAGTTTGAGTACCGCCTGTCTCAATAATAATATTATGTGCTCCTGTTTGGCAACAACGGATATAATCCGCCTTATCGGTTCATCGCATCGGAAACAAAAAAGCGAAAGAATTTGAAACGCTTATCACGATGTTTTTACTACAATTTTATTCAGTTGTATTCAGTCAATGTGTCAGTCGGTAACGCGTGAGTGAATAGTGGTGTTTGTTGCGTGGCTCAAACGAAATAAAAAATTGGACATGTTTACGAAAATGCTGAACTTGTGGACATGATTCTTATTTACGGGGAGGAGACTACCAAATGCTGCCGCGGCATCACGGATTTATGCGGATCGGTTTCCCAATCGAGTGTAACCAACCCCTCGTGCCTTTGTTAATGTAGTACAAAGGGCTCGTGAATCAGGTGACTTACGACCTCACAGGGAAGGGAATGCCGGTGCTCCAAGACCGCACGATCAAATACAGG